CCAGTGCGAAAGAGAAATTGCAATAACAAACGAAAATCTTAACAAATACAGAAATAAGTGGACCACCCTGTGCATTTCTGATTAGTGTTGATTTATAGTAATTTAGCAAATGCGCACTATTATTATGTTTCTATTTGTTCTGCTAGTTGTTGTTAATCTGTTGAACTTTCGTATTTCGCTTTTTTTTGCTTATTTGTTTGTTTGTTTTTTTTACTGTTTTGCTCCCTTTTATTTGCCGCCCTGTTATTGTAAAGTTTATTGTAATGTTATGTTAAATGATGTTTAATAAATAAATTATTAAAAAATAAAAAATATATTAAAAAATATTAATAATAGTGATTAAATAACCTAATAACATACGGAGGAGTGTGAATACTTGGCATACTCGAACTTTGGAGAGATTGTCTGAGACGGCGATACACCTTCATTAAAAATAATAGGCAATCAAGACATTCAAGATTATTTATGGATTAGTCAGTCAAGTAAGCAATTTTTAAGCTGTCTCTTTAAAAAAGAGCGTGGTCAATAAATTAATCAATTTGGTACAGATGTCGCGCCAGTGTCGCTCCAAAGTCGAACTTATTAAATTAGGTTCGGCACATGAAAGGTACGGCGTCTGAACCAAGCCTTAAAAACATTTTGAATGAAGCATAAAACAATTATTGAAGTCGGCTTTCGTATAATGTGAAGAATTATACAGATCTCAGCCTTCAGCCTCGATCCACATAATTCTTCTAATCATATCCTACTCAGCTTCATTTAATAATCGCTAATTAACCTGCGTAGCATAGAAGCATTTGCGGGCGAGTTCGACGTGAAAGCTGCAGGAACAAAAGCGACAAAGAAGGATGGAAGGGGAAGGGAGGGGGGAAAGGAAACGTTTTCTAGCAAACGCCGCGATTCTGAAAAATGCGCTCGCCCACAAACGCAACTTAAGACTGGTACAGCAAAGTGGTGTTGAGTGCAAAGCTATCAATACACCAATCAAACTGGCAGATGAAATGCTTCGGAAGTTTTATTTGAATCGTGCTTGAGCGATTCGCCCTTCAGGGCTCAAAATAACGGCCGGTCAACGGACAATGTCCGGCCTGATCGTGGACTTGACCGGTCAAACTCTCATCTTGCCGGTCATTTTGACCGGTCATTTTTGGATGCGAACCTTTTAAAATATTTTCCATACAGTTGCCGCTTTAATGCGTTTTGCTCTATAACACTGTAATCATTTCTTTTTTCTTTGCCTTTTTTTCCATGCTTTGCACTAAAACTTTTAAAGAAAACGAATGCTGCATTAAATTCCATGTTGTCGTGTAATGAAACGCGACAAAACGAAACAACAACAAACAGAGTTGTGGAGTAACGCAACGATGCTGCAGGTCGTGCTGTACTTTCTGCTTTGCTGTGATTAGTGATGTGACCTTCTTTGGGAAAACATACACGTTATACGTTAGAAAACTAAAGGATAGCTAACAGTTTTTGTCAATCTAACGTTTCACATCTACTTGTAAGAGGATTGTGAAAATCACCTTCGACGGAATTAATCGATGGCAATTCTCCACGTCCTGTACTGTTTCTCCGGGAATAAATTTTAGTGCATGGAGTAATTATGAGGCCTTCGCGATAAAGTGTTGCACGATGTACGACCCAAACGAAAGCTCTGCTGTATATTTATTGACTTCTGATGATAAATACGCTGTTTGTGGAATGGATTTCTTGCCAGAATCAACTTCTTTGCCGCAAATATTTAGTGGAGGAGACTTTCGATCACCTGCCGGGCAACGAAAAAGATCAACTTTCACCGATATGCAGCTATGGGACTTGGAGACTTGAGACACCGCAGTACGATGATACTCAAAGTCAAAGTATATATAAACGGACATGAAAGTGGGGGAAAACCCCGGAGAGGAACTCAACAACTTGTGAATGAATTTCACCAACTTGCCGCGAAAAACCTGAACGTCAATGCAGTACAACGATCTATTGCCAGCGTAATTTGATATTCCATATAAGGCAAAAAAAATTATTGTATTCATTATTTGACCGGCCAAAATCCGGGTTTGTCCGGCCAAAAAAATATTTGGCCGGTCATCATGACCGGCGACCTACTGTCCGTTATTTTGAGCCCTGCCCTTCAAAGTATAATTCGAGATCGAGCAGTGGAAGCCATTTTATTGGTATTCGTATGGGAGAAAAATATGCGACATTCAAGGTAAAGCTAAAACCCTCGATTATCCGGACTCGTTGGGACTTGAGTGAACAGTCCGGAAAATCGAGAGTCCGGATAATCGAAAATATGAATATTAATGAGACAATGATGTAAAAATAGGGAATAAAGAAAAAAATTTCACTGTGAATTAGCTCCACTTGCATTTTTGTACAGTCTGTATGTTATTATGTATTTACAAATAAAAAAGGAACTGTCTCAAGTGTTCGTGCATTTACAGCACTCTAAAATGTTCAAGCATACTAGTTTGTTTTAACGAACTACAACGTGATCGCACAGCAAAGTCCATCATTCGTCGAAGCTGCATTATTTGGATAGGGTCAATATTGCTTTATCCAGCTGCTCATCATTTACAACCGTCAGGGACTTTCGTTTCAATCCTTCGCTGGCTAGTCTCGACGCTGTCGGTGAATTTCAGGAACTTCTCTTGTTTTTGCGTATATCTGAGATCTGCTGCTTGCTGATTTTAAACTCGAGTGCTAAATTTGTTCCTTTTTCTCTTTCTCCAAACGCGAAATAATCGTTTACTTATACTTTATCAGAGAACAGACTGATTCGTTTCGTAGACATGGCTGTGATTTGAGTTTAAGATTGATTGGTCTTGTGTTTACGTAACCCACACCGAATTAAGCATGAAATTTCCTTAGCAACATAAGAATTCAGCCAATCGGAATTCAGCTGAATGCATCAGAAAAATACACCTAATCGGCTAACTCAATGTTGTACCCAATTCAAACCCTTTGGAAATGTTTCAGGAATTTCCATATCATTTAAATGTGAATGCTACATTATATTGCAAATACAATACACAAAGAATCTTAACCCCAGGAGATTTGAATTGGGTACAACATTGAGTTGGTCGAATAGGTCTATTGCTCTTCTCAGGTGCTTTCCATTATACCTGACCAACCGGTCAGAGTCCACTCCGACTAACCAACGGAAAATGGAACTCGTCGGAAGCAAAACTCCGACCGAATTGATTGTTTAGTATTGTCGTAAGGGCTAGGGTCACATACTGCTAAGAGAAAAAGGAGGGAAAACACCGTCAACATTTGGAGAAGCCAGTAATATATTTGTCTTTAAATACTTACGAAAACCAGAAGAAAACACAAATTAAGATGCACTGCTGTACCTAAGCCTTGTGTGCAACTGTGCATAAGGAGAAAGTTAAGATCTTGCGTCTGAAGCTTACACACACTGCATTCGTAAACACTACGACTACTGTGTGTAGTGACGAGCTGGAGCAAAACTGGAAACGAAAATTTCTGCAAATGGAACGGCAATTTTCGGTCGGACTAGACCGACCAGTCAAAGAGGACCACCTCTGGAGGTGGACCACTTTGACCGGAAAATTTCCGCCTGAGCCGAACCGTTCCATTTACATTTGGACCTGAAATTTCCGGAAATTTTGGCATAATGGAAAGCACCCGGGTCGGGCCGCTCACACGTTTTCAAAGCGAAACAGATTAAGAACAGTGTTCTAAACACAAGTTTAGAAGGATTAATGAACTTTTAATCGTTTCAATTTTTCAAGATCAGATCTTATTAATATTCATGAAAAAAGCGGGACCAGGGAAACAAGTCCGGATAATCAAGGTTCGACTATCATGGTTTTTCAAGAAATATAGCGTGATTCAGCGGCCGGCGTTTTATTTCTCTCCCTGTCCCTAATTTTTGCTCGCTCACGTGCGCTTCTCGCGCCTCTCTCACTTGGTTAACAATAGATATAAATGATTTCTACGCATGCTGTCCACGAATATACCTTCATGGTCCTCAGTTATGCCTTCCATCCTCTGAGAAGCGTTGCACTTTGTTTCTAAGGAGCTCCGGGCATTTAGAGAATCTTCTGTTGCAAAAAAATGAAGAAAACATGCTATTGCAGGGAATATGTGTGTATAACTACAATCCAATGTGTGAAGTACATGTAATGCAAATTAAGACTATGACCGAGGGGTATGACCAACCACTCTCCACAGACCATTCCGCTACAAACAATGTACCTGATTGATGTATTCCTATGTTTTTTGCTATGAATTCATCGATTTAGTCGTTGTTGTTACTGTGTGACCCCTGCAACTCCCTTTATAAGACGAAGTAAAGGCTGCACAGAAAAACAGCCGGCAGTCCGGACCTTGTCCCCTCGAAGGCGGTTTGCGGCCCGAAAACCCATCGAGTCGTATATTTTTTCGACCAGAGGCAAAGTTCTATCATCGCTACACTTCAGTAAACGTTAAAAAGCGAAATATCCCCACGCATGTTGCTGGAGATGAGCATTTTCTCGCGCCATGTCCAAAATACCTTCCTTCGCCGGACGCTTTGATTTCGAGAGTGGACAGAGGGCGTTTGGTCCGAGGTCAAATTTCCCTCGCCCAAGGGTGGCTCAGTCAACTTAACTGAAATTTAATTTCCAGATTTTTGGTTCGTTTTCACGTAAGAATAGTCATTCTTTGGGTTTATAATTTTAACGGGTAAAATTGCTGTTGATATTCAAACTACAACAACAACAGGAAACCTTTGTTGCGGGTTTTCTTTGATGACTGAGCCACCCTTACCCGTCACCTCAACAAAACTAATGTATAATTTCGTCATGACATCATTACATTGATATGACACTTGTGACAGTATTTTGGATACCTTGGTCATTGGCGACGTGGTTAATGCTAAAACGTGGAATGCTTTGCCCCTAAGCCAGGTGCGCCACCTTAAAAACTATTCCTGAACCTTCATTACTACTGCAACAATATAACAAAATAGTAATTAGCTTGTTCCATTTACCTTTACTAGAAGTGGATCCTGGAATGCTTTGCATACTCCAGCTTTTCATAGGTTCCTTCCTCAGCGAAGATTCACCTTCATGACTAGCTATCTTGGAGGGCATATGCTTCTTAAAAAGGATTCCGCTATCCTCACTTGAAGTAGCTGTATTTAAGAGACGGCTCTCGTCAAGGTACTCATCATTACTGAATGTCTACTCAGGAGCCTAAAGAGCTTTAAAAACCTTATCCAAGCCACCACAACGCAACTTAGTTAGGGCGTTATCCCGGATTCACAATATTAGCTGCATACTTGAATGTCAATTGAATGTTAACGTTTATAGCAATTCGATGAAAGATATAATTTGCAAAGTTGGAAAACCTGTTCGCACATATTTTTGAAAATATTTGTCACTGAGATATTTTTAAATGGCATTGCGGAGAATTCAGCACGTTAAAAGATCGCTCTTTTGCTGTTGGTGCTCCCAACCTTTTGAATTTGTTTCCTTCTGCGATACGGAGACGCCCCTCAGTTGTCATTTTTAAGAAGGCACTCACGGCCCTTTCATTCTAGAACGCTCTTATGTAATTTGAAATCTTTTGTTTTACTCGTTTTTAGTAGGTTTTACGCAATTTGCACAGTTTAAGTAAATAACGCTATTTTTAATAATTTTAGTGTTCGATATATTTTAATTTTTTATATATTTATTTATTATTTATTCAAAATCCTTTTTATAACCGCTGATGAAAATGGCGACTATAAAGGGACTATTGATATCGGCGCTATATAAGTTTTACTTTTATCAATAATACACTTCTACAGTACAAGGATAAACGGTAACAAGTCCTGTAGGAAGAAGTTCCTTTGAATAATCTAACAATCACTTCCCCCCTTTAGATATAGAAGTGTACTAATGAGCAATATCAAGAAAAACAACTCATGTTTTTGCATACCTGGATTACAAGGTAATTCTGACATTTTACGCTTACGGCTATTTTGAGACTGACAGTCTGTATGTGTGGATATTTCAGTCGGATTTCCTGCTGCAGTATCAGCTTTCATTTCACAGTCACTACTAAGGGAAGTTTCTGAAACAGGCTGCTCGTCGTCGTAAGAGTCTCTGTTTTGGTTGTTTTCAATTTCCATAGAAGGCTCTGCAAAAATAAGCTTGGGTTACGATAATAATCTCTTTGAAACTTAAGGCTTAGTCCATTCCAGGTGTGCCCATTCCTCCCTGGGGCGAACATTTGTTGAGCGGAAATTTGCTGGAAATAAATGGAGAAAACATGCTATTGCAGGGAGTATGTGTGTATAACTACAATCCAATATGTGAAGTACATGTAATGCAAATTAAGACTAGACCGAGGGGTATGACCGACCACTTTCCACAGACTATTCCGCTAACTTGAAACAATATACCTGAAGAAATTACAAATATTACAGTTTTGCTGTTATCAGCATAAGGTTCGGATAGGTATCGGTGAACATTTTTATCAACACTTCAGGGCAAAACTTGTAAGCGATCCTATTTTTCCTTCTTTTCATTTTTCTCTGTATTGTTTCCTGACATTGTGCCACTGAAGAAAATGTAATTGACATTCCTACCATGCGTCAGGCTGACCATCCTGTCAACTAACTCTTTTATCTGTTTGGCCCAGTTGTATTTCCTGCCATAATTACCGCGCAAGGACACCGCTTCCTCAAGTCGACATTTCCTGTCCTTGGACCAGATCTTCTGGATGGCTGCGGTCCAAACTGCGGGGTCCTCTGACTTAATCACAAATGATGAACCAAAGGCTACACTGCACAGTGCTTCTCCAAAACCAGAGTTGCCGCTGACGAGCACTGGAAGACCAGCTGACATTGCCTCGAGTCCTGTTAAACCAAAGCCCTCTGTTCTTGAAGGCATGACTGCAAGATCCACTTGTTTGAATAATCGCTTTAAACCCTCTCGGTCTTGAACAAATCCTTTTATTTTCAATCGACTTGCAGGAACGCCACACTCGATTAACCGCTTCCTTATTTCTTCGTCTTTTCCATCCGGTGCCCCAACAAACACAAGACGAGTATCTTCTAACGCAGCAATTGCTTTCCCAGCGATGTCAAATCCCTTTAATTTAAAATCTTCTACGTCTCCATGACCAAACACCAAGACTCTGCGTTGTTGCCTATCGCTATGACTAACTTGCTTTACAGTCTTTAACTCTTCAAATACTCCAGGAGTGAGGTCAAAGACATTACCATCTTTATCACAACCAGAAAGATATGAGCGAAAGGACTCGCTCAACTTGGGTCCAACTCCTACAACATGATCAGCCATTTCACACAGTTCTACTTCGTTCTCGTGCTTTTCTTCACCCTTTGAATTTGGGCTAGAATAGCTTTCAAACATCTTAAGTTCCTCAGGGTCTTTGTGTACCACTTGAACCCATTTGCACGTTTTAGATTTCTTAATGACCTGCGCTTGTTTACCGAGCCTAATTCCATGACCAACAACAATGTCGATTTCCAAATCGTCTGGTGGATAGCAAAGCCAATCAAGCTCTTCAAAACAAGACAGTGGAGTTGCCTCTACGATCTTTACTTTGTGATCAAGGGCTACGTTTTTGTCCCCTTGACTGCATTTTGGTAAAAAGAAAGTGATTTCCACTTCAGGGAACTTGGCCAACTGAATGGCTAATTCTCTGTTTATGGTGGAAAGTCCACCATTACTTGATCTCCATTCAGATGCCAAAATAGTGACTTTCACTTTGCGAGATCTATGCACTCGGTCATCATGCGTTTGAGCTTTCCTTAAAGCTGATGCCATACTTAAACTTCAAAGTCGTCCAACATCTAAAAAAAGAATTAATAGTAAAGACTCAATTACAACTACTACAATAGAAAAAAGAGAATCAATTACAGCTACTATTGGGAAAACGGAAAAACGTTTCACTACAGTGGCGTAGCCTGGGGAGAGCTCCAGGGTTTCCAGATAACCCCCCTCCTCCTCCCCGCTTGCGCTGCTGCACTAACTATAATTCAAGAGGAATGAGATTTTACATGTTAAAGAAAATGAGAAGAAGAAAAAATAAAAAGCATCACATTCTATCTCAAGGGTTACATATGTTACATATGAGGTTTGATCAGTCTTTGCAGTAGTCTTTTTTACTTAAATTCTATTACTGTGAGGAAGATCATACGAGGCCCTTGTGTATACTAGCCTGCAATGTGGGATTCGGCACCTTTGTTTGTCTCCATTGCTTTCAATTGCATGTTGTAATGGTTTGACTATGAGAGGGCTTCATAGAAACTCGGTAGAGGCATACAAGTGAGAAGGTAGAATGAAATCAGCGTTGATGTTTGCAAATCAGTCCGAGGAAATTGTTTGAAACTGGGACACTAACACCGACAGCACGACAAACTGCCTAAAACATAGGGTATTTAGTTATGAATTCATCATATGCCACCCAAGTTACCACGATGCAGTGCCTTTTCCTCACACAAAAGCTACTCAGTATCAGGCTCCGGAAGCATTTAAAAGAACGTGAAGGTTAGCTATGAGTGGTCTTCGCAGTTGTGGTAAAAAAACATTTTTCCGGAAAAATAAATTATTTCATGAAGTTAGTTTAAAACATTTCTTAATTCTATAGGTAAAACCAACTGAGTAACGGTCGTAAAAGACCAACCGAACCTTTTGCCAACTTCTTTGCCAAAGGATCATAACATAAACTGCCGCTTTTAAGCCCCCCCCCCCACCCCTCCCAGGTAGAGGCCCCGTCTCTTATAATCAAAACATACATCCGATTGTAAGCCCCCCGGATATAAGGCACCACTTCTAACTTTCCTTAGGGGCCGACCATTTAACTCTTGAGGGGGGGGGGTGATTTTGAAAAAAAATTCCTACAAGCGCTTGTCGGAAGAAAAAAATTGCATGCAGCACAAATGCAATAGAAAAAATTCTTGCGCTGCTGTAAGAAAGGAAAAAAAAATGTTGCACAGCTAAACAATAACGATTTTGTATAGCTTACAACATTTTAAGGCTTTGCAGTTCCATATTAGCTCATATTAGAACTATTACTGCAATGACCACAATGTAAATGTAAATACATTTTGTATATGTAAACACATGACCCTTTTTTGAGGAAAAAAAATCCTGCAGAGAAATGAGGAGGGAAAAACAAATATCCTGCAGAGCATTTAGAGGGAAAAAAAATATCCTGCCCACCAGATTGCTGCAAAAAAAAAATTCTTGATGACCAGAAATCACCCACACCCGCCCTCAAGAGTTAAATGGTCGGCCCCTTATACAGTGGAACCTCGATTTAACGAGGTGCCGTGGACTGGCGAAATTTGTTCGTTAAATCGTCATTTAACGAATTTTCGGGAAAACTACCATCGAGGTATAGTTAGTAATTAATTTACAAAACCCATCACTTCCGGATCGATCTGAAAAATTACTGTAATAACATTTCAGTACCGAGCTATACATAGCTACAGCACTAGAAACTCAAGCACAGGCAAACGAAACTGCTTAAAACTACTGTACACATAAATTTTATCCTTGTTGGTCTGTTTGGCATTCATCTTTTAGCACATGCAGACATTTATTCGTTATATCGAGGTAAATTTTAACTTTGCGCTTGTGGATTGTGTTCGTTATAAAGAGGATGTCGTTAAATCGAGGTTCTGTTGCATACATTTTATTGTAATTTTGGCTGAAGAAAATAGTTCGTTATACCGAGGACTTCGTTATATAGAGGTTCGTTAAATCGAGGTTCCACTGTGCATATTTTGTTTCGAAGCGCTTTTTCTATTCCGGTTATCGGGCCCCTCGGATATACGTCCCTCCGTTTATAAGCCCTCACCCAAAACCGCTTTAATACAAAGATGTATAAGCCTAGGTGTTGAACCCATAAAGTATTCCGCCGCCTTCCTGAGAATACGTTGCAGACAGAGTCACACGGGAGCGGACGAATTAACGGCGATTTCTATGCTCAAGCAAGCAAAACGATACTCAGCTATACTTAGTCAACTGCAAATGCAGCTAACGTTTTCCTATTTGGCTGGTAATTCTAAAGAAATGCTTTCAGGAGGTTAGAGCAACAGGAGCAAGGCGTTAGTTTCGAAGAAAATCAGTACGATTCTCTGATTGCCAGGCCAGAATTCTACTCCTTGGTACATATGTAAATACTGCGATGGCGATTTGAATATCAGACACCCGAAACCAACGAACGTACACAAAGACCTCATTTAATTTCATATCTTGAAACTATTAGTATAGCTCAGTTAAAACGAAAAAAGGAAACGTGCGGCAGATACACACTATCCAACTGGCTCAGCGCAGAAATTTATACATTTAAGTGAATTGACAGACGCGAAGATAAAGAATGATTATCATTTTAATACGACTGGTGAATTGTGAGTTCAAATGCTCGCTCTCATGACTTGTTTTAAGTTACTAAGTGTTTCAGAATTTAATATCACACAAGCCTAACCTTTATCCACGGCCAAAAGACACACACAGCAATTCAGCAAAGGTAAATGTCATAAATGAAAGAACGAAGTCTTGTATTGCTGTCCCTTGGCTCAGAGCACCAAGAGCGACAGCCGCCATATGACGTCAATTGGTTTTGTAAAATAAGTCACGCGAGATTAGTCACGCGAAGCTTTTAAATTTTTATTTCATGTAATACTAAAAAATAAATGGAATGATGTAAACGCAGGGTTTGAAATATGGAATATTTTAATCAGATAAAAGTGAAACTGCATCATGTATCTCCATTATTAATGGGGCTGCTGTGTAATAGTCCAGAATTGCATGCTGGTAGTTGCAGTACTCAACTGCATTAAAATCTGTTTTGCTTTAATTTAGTTTTTAATTTCTGGGTTTCAGTTCGTTTTGGAGGGCTCTATTGTTTTTACTTTCACTTTTCTTATACATGTAATATAAAATCCAAAAAATATAAATAAACTGAAAAAAAGAGATAAAGGGAATAATAGCCAAAAAAATAACCTCAAAAATTCAGATTTTCAATAGACAGTTTTCAGCCACCATAGATTAACATACATGTAGGTATGTATCAGAGTACTAGAATTTTGTAAACTTATTGGCTGCTAAATTAAATGTCAGTTTTATGCAATAGTATTATGCATGCTTCGTATAGCTACTGTGATTCTCAGTTTTATTTCACCCTTTTCTGTCCACTGCGACTGTTTTGGATAGTGTAATACACCCTATTCACAAATGGCGGACACGCGGGAAAAAACTGGTGTCTAGTCATGAAAGCGAGGCGTTGGAGGGTAAACAAAAATTGCAAATGAAGACTTTCAGTGAACTTGCAGAGTGTTTAGCACGGATTCCACCTAAAATAACTTTGTATGGACGTCTTTTTAAATACAATGACGTGGGACGTCTTCTGCTTTTAATGTTTAGTACTGATTTGCTGTTTGCAATCAAAAGGGACGCGTATATCTTCAAGGAAACAGGATGATTTTGTAGGTTGCCGAAGCCTCAGAAGCTCGACAAGTGAGTGATGGCTGGAGAAAAGCGGCAAACATGTTGGCCCAAACTTCACGCTGAAACCGAATGCGAAAGCCAGCTCACTGCAACTCTGTAAAACAGAAGTAAAAACAGATATTGGTGGCAAGAAAAAAAGAAATAAGCGACGGATATATGGCCTACTTGTCAACGGAAGAGACCTGCGCCATTACTCAAAACAAGTCAAGTCGAGAGCGGGTGAAAGATTCATTCACGAGACTCATTCATTCATGTCAGTGTCATTTTACACATATCTATGTATGTCTGTATTTACAACTTTCTTTGGATGATATTAATTCCGTCGCTTTGGAGTGAATTGTTAGAGGTACGTTGGCAGAGCTTAGCAAATTCAGTGCAAATTTAAAATCTTTTGATTTCTTTGTCATTGCGAAATAAAATAATTTTATCAAAACTAGAAGCTCTAGTGTGTGAATCTTATGGCTTGCTATTTGCCTGGTCTCCTTTACGGCATTATCTCGGAGAGCTCGTGGTAAAAAAGTGGTATAAAGCTCACATTTTACTAGGTTAAACTTTTAAGGCAATGTTTGTGTCAGGACTGAACACGGCAAGCTTCTGTTTCGAATCATTAAATGCGAGTCTGGATCCGTTTAAGAAGACCATCATTTTATTTATTTATGTATTCTTCACTTTTAAAATATTATGGAACATGAAGTTAAAACTCTTAACAGCCAAAGATAAGAAATAGGAAAATTACTCGCTGAAATGAAATGTAGTCGGCTTACCGAGTCTGCCGAGTAACAAGTTGAAATTTTGAGCGTACTAACTCCACTCGATCGCTCCTGCATTTATACCAAAAAGATAGTTCTAATTGATGTCCTTCATCGATAAAGACCAGAGAATAACGTCCTGGCAAATAAACACCAAACATAACTTCATCGAAACCTCAGTCACCGCTTCTTTCCTGTCTTCCTTTTTTCCATCTCGATTTAAACTGTTTTGTTCAATGGCACAGGTCTCTTGCGTTAACAAGTAGGCCATATATCCATCGCTTATTTCTTTTTTTCTTGCCACCAAGATTTGCATTGTTTATATTTCTGTTTTACCGAATTGCAGTGAGCTGGCTTTCGAACTCGGTTTCAATGTGAAGTTTGGGCCAACATGTTTGCCGCTTTTCTCCAGCCATCGCCCACTTGTCGAGCTTCTGATGCTCCGGAAACCTACAAAATCATCCTGTTTCTTTGAAGATATACGCGTCCCTTTTGATTGCAAACAGCAAATCAGTACTAAACATTAAAAGCAGAAGACGTCCCACTTCATTGTATTTAAAAAGACGTCCATACAAAGTTATTTCAGGTGGAATCCGTGCTAAACACTCTGCAAGTTCACTGAAAGTCTTCATTTGCAATTTTTGTTTACCCGCCAACGCCTCGCTTTCATGACTAGGCACCAGTTTTTTCCCGCGTGTCCGCCATTTGTGAATACGGTGTATTGCTTCTATGATTTTGGTGGTATGATACTTCAACTCAACTTCGAAATTGTGAGTCATAACATTATAGGCACTATGTTATTACAGACAATACAAAACAGTAGTCAGGTATTCTAAAGTTTTCTGTTTAAAGTTTTTAGCCGAATCCCAGTTTAGTCAAAAAAACAAATTTTGGTTCTTAGCTCCATTGCTTTGGACATGTGAGGACTCTAACATTTGCAAAATACCATAGAATTTTGCTTAATCATTGTCAGCCTGACGGTGTCCATTGGGCCACTGCAAAACCCTCGGATATACACAAAGACCCCCACTGTGGTACAAGGGGGGGGGTTGATGGAAACCCCCCCTTTACAATGTAGTTTTTGATATGTTGCAGTGTTTCAAAAGAATTTTGCCTTCAATGGAAAACCTTTGATCTTCTCTACGAGATGAAGTTTATTTTGTGGGTGGTGGCACTGCTTGATTTCTGTCACATCTCAAAACAAGGTTGCCATCTTGGCTACGAGATTGGGTTTTATCAAGAATTAGAAATCAGGCCAAAAAAAATAGAAAAATATTTTCTTGCGCTTAACTTGTAAAAAACACATAATTATTTACGTTGCATCATTTTATCCACAAGTTTTACTTTTAGTGCTGAAAAAAGTTGAAAAACATGCACTTTCACTCAAAAATGGCTTGACCTTCTGCTACTTATGACATCATATCTCGTAACCATAGTAACTGACCATCACTAAACTTGTCTCAAAGTGGCGTGAGGGCAGCCTAGTCCCTAGGCGTTCTCGGCTCGGTCAATCCTGGACTCTACCGTGAGCTGTGACGTCACCGCTCCTTCCCAGACTTCGCACGGGCAAGAGAGAACGCCTAGGGACTAGGGTGGTGTGAAGGATAAGAGAACAACTACAGAAAACTTCAGGTGCTGATGTTTTTTTTGTTGAGGAAAAAATTCAGAAAAACCTTAGGCCACTCCCCCCCCCACCCCTTGTACATCCCAGGGTTAAGATATGCCTAGTTTTTTTTTAAACATTACAGGAAAACAGTCTTTGACCCAAGACAAGAAACGAACTTCTTTTTGTATATCAAATATAAGGAAAAAAGTTTCAATGAAAAGACCTTTTGCAAAAATAACAGAACAGCTCCAATGCTCAAAAGCAGGAAATTTCACTCCTGATTCTGGTTACATGATTCTTTATTTTCAAGGGTCTGTTTATTAATTCACCTTCTGAGACAGAAAAAATTATTCGCTGAGATTAATTCCAAAACGTGGAGTTTCAACAAGCACATGGAAATCTCCTCTGCAGTGGAAAGAATGCTTTTGGTGGTGGATCTAAGCTGGGAAAAAATGACACTTATGATGCAGACACACTTATAATTCATGATACTGCATGTGCTTACATTTTCATCTCGACCGCCTTTTATATACTTTAATATAAGCTTATGCTTATCTTGCCTGAAGTACACTGCCTCCGTTTGTCTCTACGTGATTAAATACAAAGCCAGTACATGTTCACAAAAACTTTTTTGCTACAGATATGTGAACAGCCTCTTGATTCAACGTAGCAGTTAGTAAATAATCAGCATAAGCGTCATCAAAAGTGTCGAGTCCCTCTTCGCCATAATATATATACAGTTGAAAATATAATGTCAAACAACACATGGCCAAAGTGTCTTTATAGCGAAAATGGATTCGAAATTAATAGCGTGCGATCATGAATTTTGAAATTTGAATTATGTATGTATTATGAAATTTACCTTTATCACCGGTTTTATCTCTTTCGAAGTTTAGCTCCAATGTTAAAACAAATTCAGCTGCTGGGGTGAGAATTTCAACTACAAGAACTGAAATCCTTGTTCTTGCAGTTCTGCCATGCTCTTGGCCTTAAAATCAATCTTATTCTTCTGCTTCGACATTTTTGAACCCTAAACTATCCGACTTTCAACAGTAAAAGGGAAATAAAATTTATAAATTACAGTCAAGCCAGGTCAACCGTACCCCTCAAGATCCCATTGATGAGTTTATTATTCGAAAGTTGAATCTGTTGGTAGTTGTAGATTTCAGATTCATCTCTGCATTTGTAATGAGCCGTGAATTCACACGCAATTCAGTTACGAAATTTCTACCAGCTCAGTTTCCCTGAATTTGATGTAAATGTCTTCTAACAAATTTAATTCATTCAAAGATTTTCAATCTGACCAAATACAGGGAAGTTCTCATAAAATATTCACTGCCCATTGCGCATGCAGGAATGCCGATTTGAATTTGACAATAGTTACGTGAAAGATTAACGGATTCATTTTTCAAATATTTAATTCGTTAATAGAATCTTGGGGTTACGCTTGACCTGCCTTGACTGTAACGCAAACTTGAAATAGCAACTCGTAGTTCGTACAAGTACAGTATGTGGCAGAGAACGGATGACTGAACTTTAGGGGTTTGTTTACAACAAAGATCATCAAAAGTAACGTGAAACCACACGTGAAATCTGATGCTCAGAAGGTGAATTATGTGCACCTTCCCCTCCTCCCCCTAGTAATGGCTGGAATCTGAATGCTCAACTTTTTGTTGGTGCCCTTTGAGAAATGAGATTTGAAGGATTCATTATTTGTCTGCACCTTTTAAAAAATGCCTGAAGGGTCCAATTTCGGCTTCTTTGAAGCAGAATCTGAGCTGCCCTATTCAAAAACCCCCCATTCTTAGGGGGGTGGGGTGCGGATAAAGAATGAAATGTCCCCAAATGATCATTCCAACAGATTTCCATTATTTTAAAACTTAAAATGTGTTTCTAGGTTTAAGTTTTCTACGGAAAGCAAGGAAACAAAATACGGCAACAGTCCATTAAATTGGTTCGCTGGGGAACCTTGATACCAAGCCGGAAGTGAGTCCATCTTATTTCTCAACACACGTTATTACACCTCAAATAGGTCGGTTAACGTATCACTTCAGAAAAAAGTGGGAACTTATTTTTAAGTAAAGAGCACATTACAGCTATTTGTGATAACTGGAGCGGAAGCAACCCGCCGATTAGTCCGGAGGATCAGGATAGGTATGGAGGATGCTTCTAACTGAAAGTGCTATGTTAAAAAAAGTTTCCTTACCCTGCTACAGCTCCAAGTTCAGCTTTTCGTTTGCTTTTCAATATTCTTCCGGTAATCTCTTCTCTAATGTAAAAAACAATGCATCTATCTGAGCTATTAAACCAATGCCCAAATCACACTGCAATCAGACCGACGCCATCGCCATCGTCTGGCTTCCTCAAGAAAGTTTTTCATGTATGCCACATGAAATTTCCTGAAAGCCTCCCACATACAAAAACATACCGTTGGGGACCGGGATAGCAGAGGAAGGGGCAAGGGGGGCAGAAGGCAATTTTCGCACACCCACGTACATAGCCTGCTTGCTAGGCGTCCGAAAGGGAAGAACAAGGAAATTTAGGCTACGCGCTCACACTGCTCTCACTTGACAGGGCCATATATGCGTAACAACACAATCTTCTTAGTAACAACCAGCTTTATAGCTGCTTATATCTTCTTCAGAACATGTTTCGTGAAATCAACTGATCGTAAGGAGCTGATCATAGGGAGGTAAAAAGCATTGTTTTTCGTTTATTTCCCGAACCCGTTTTTAAAATATCTAGCCAAGATTTCATTCAATCGAAAAATGACTCAATTAGTTTGGAGTCCTTGGCTCAATAATATTTGGATGATTTTTCGAATGTTTTTAAAGCAGAAAAACTAGGGGGGTGTATTTGGGAAAATTGGATTAATATTGGATTGGGGGTTGTTAAAATTGAAATAAGAAGTGAATAATTACATTGTACGACAAAGTGGTCGCTCGCTTACGGGAGGTGGTGGTCGTCTATCAGAAAAATCAAGTTAATACGCCCATAGTCACCTGGCAATCTTGAATAAAACGTACCCGAGCTATAAGACACCTGTGCATTTATAAGAGCAGAAGAAAAAAGTCTCACTTTTTCTTGTCTGTACTTATTAATTTTTCTAAGGTACGAATGGCCTTGAGAAATATTTGTGAGCCAAACAAATGGCAGATTCATGATTAGTCACTGAAAGAATTCCCTCAATATTCTCACGACAAAGTTATCAAGGTTCTTGTTCACCCTGACGACAGAACTGAGAGAATTATCTGAAAGATATCCGGTCAAAACTGAATAAAGATGGCCGAAAACTAATGCATCCAGCTCTGTAGGTCTAAAATGAATAAAGAAATAAAGAATTGGAACAAAAACCTTTATAAACAGGCGCACTAAATGCAGTAGAATGAAGCAAAATACTGACAAAACATTAACTGTGAAACAGAACAACTTTGTAGCCCCGTGTCCTCTTTCTGTTTTCTGCCTTTTGTAGACTTTGCTTTGCCTTTCTTCTTTGTCTCTTTCAAAATCCCTTCACTTGGAGCACTACATGCACAACTACATAAAATCATTTCAAGTCTCTGAACACACATCACCATTTTCTTTTCAGCACACTGACACACTTAATGCACCAGTTCTAAAGCCTTCCCTGATTGCTCGGGTCTGGACACATACAAGAGATATTTGGCAACACTCAAGGAGTACCTAATCAGTATGTTGTGAAGTGTTGTATCAATACAGTTTACACACTCGCATGTCTCTGGATGACCAAGAAGCAGAGGTTCTTGAATTTCATTTTTGGAAAGCTTGGATTGGCTGGAAGATTTCAAAACTGGTTGTAGGTGTCCATTAAGCTGGTCAAGCCGACTTTCACACTTATCACCCTTGTCTTGTTTGAGTTCCAACTGAGCAATGTTAATGAAAAATTCTGCAATCCTAAAGGAGAAGAATTATAAGTTCTATCAACATGCTTGCAATCAGGTCGAATATAGGAGGCAATGTTATATTCTCTTACGTAGTTTGCGTAAAATGTTCATCTCCCAAGCAAAATGAAAATAGGATCTAATGCCTGGCCAGAAATTATTCTTTTGCTATATAAACGTCACCAATAACAGTGATTTTAATTTAGCTACTTCCATGCTGCAACCTTGCAATTACATTATGTAACTAAGAAAAAGAATTTAAAGCCTGTCAGGGAAAGACAGTAATTTTGTTACAAATGGTTATGGTGAGTTCTGTGACTCATCATCAAAAATCATGAGTCCTTGAGACAGAAAAAGGAGTCCTAAATTGAAAATGCTTGGGCCTTTATGTAACCAGCAATTAACCCAGAGACAGACGTCAAACATTTTATTACAGTTTACTGAAATTAAAATACAGTCCATCTGTATATTTAAAGCCCAAAAAAGACTAAAATAAATATGCATCTTTAAACAATAGCCAAAGAAATCCCACGAACAGGATATTGTACCAAAAAATCATCTTCAAATCGATCGATCGTTCTTTGCATCCTACAGGACACAATTCATGAATTATTTTGCCTCTTTGGGGATTTTTATGCATCAGGGACGCAGGACGCAGAGGAAACAAAATCACGTCTTTCAAAGACCAACAAAATGAATTCTTTTTTCTGCCTAGGAACTAACATAGCATTACAGTACTGCTGAAAATGAACAAAAAAGTGCAAGATAATTATGGCTGACTACTGTGTATTGGATCAGACAATCTTAAACGAGGCTGGTTTAAGAAAAGCATTATAATGAATACCTGTAAGGTAGAGCAAAGTGTCTTGCCAAAGTTAGACCATCTACAAACTGCCTGAATGCCTCTCTTACAGCACCTTGCTGGGCATATAACTGGCCAACTTGTAGTAATGAAGACAGAAGCTCATTCAGGAGTGACATCTGGAAAAGGCTTTGATTGACACTTGGTAGAATAAGAGGGCCCTCGGCTGTAGAAATTGAAACAAAATTAAGTTTTTGAAAGTGTTGAGTTAGTGTTGTTGATGATAAAGAAATGAACATAATTGAAACAAACAATTCACACACGTGAAAAGAAGATGAAAAGAACAGGAAAAAATTCACTTCCACTTTTGGCTAGAATTTGATCCATTAAATTTTGAGACCTCTTTAAACAGAAGCAAAGAATGTGGAGAAGTTCAACTGTAGGTTGCAGTTTGATTAAGTCCAATTCAAGGCAAAAGAAGGAGGCTGCAGCTTCTTACTAATGGTAACAGGACTGAGTGAAGTACAATTCAGGGAGAAATCGGGCTAGTAACTTCAAATTACGAGTCCGATCACCCCTGAATTGTACGACACAAAGTCCTTTTACCAGTTAATTATGCCAACAACAAAATACCAGAATCTCAGTCTTAGAATATTTATTAATGTAAATAAAAGTCACTGGACAACTTAGTTTCATCCATTTTTCTTTTCCAGTTGACGCTGGACAGCTTACCTGATCACTATTTTTTCATTGATGTTGATTGGTTATCATGTGCTATGTAGTTAAATTTCATTGGCTAGAGGAATTTGCTACTTGATTTTCATTGGTTCTTTAACTGTCCGATTACAAGCTCCTGGTATTGGACAGCTCAAATCAGACAGTTTGGAGTTAAATAGCAAAATTAAGTGATAAATATGGGCTGTTATGTACCAATCAGATTGAAACATTTTGTTATTGACACAATTAAAACAATAATACAGCGTTTTGGGAAAGGGAAGTAACTGTTGTTGAATGAAGAGAGGGTAACAGCAGGAACAAAAAAGTAACATGCCAGACAAACTATTCAGTGACATGTCCTGAGAGGTAACATTGGATAATTGCAGGCTAACATTATGATAGAAAAGGGTCTTCTTTTTACCTGACACATTTATATTCTGTTTGCCCTTCTTTCGCCCACTGCTGAACACATCCTCTCCAAAAAACTCCTCAGCCATGTGGCTTAACTTGTGAAATCCATCAAGAACACATTCCAAAGCAGTAAGTGAACCAACAACAGGATCTTCACAAAAGAGCAAGATCATTCATGATAGAGTCAATGGGTGCGTTCCTTTGCAATGATCCAGATGAGAATCAGTGATCTGAGATCACTCGGATCACGGTAGATCAAAATTAATGAACTGATGAATCCACTCTGAACAAGGATTCATCAGTTCATTTGATCTACAATGATCGGAGTGATCTCGGATCACTGATCCTGATCATCCCAAAGCAACACACCCAATATTCCCTTAATGGACACCTTACTAGATTCAGTGTTCAGGCCATTATTCAATCCTCTGTTACATGTAACCACACAATGACAAGGTTGGTACATTTCCATGCAGGGACCCAAAATTAGATAATTGATCTCAGATTTTTGGATTTCTTAAGGGAATGTTGGGAAATCAAAAAATCTCAAAAAGATTTCCTTTGACAGTTGATGGTTTTGATGTCAGACAGCCACCTTTTCCAATGCTAGACATCAAAGATGCCAAGATCAGATATATTTTTTATGTTTTGAGAACTATCAATGGTTTTTTACTTTTCTTAGCCAAATAAATTTCTTCAAAAGAATGGATTCTCGAGTATTCCAGTGGTACTTGCAGAATCTGAGGTGGTGAGATGGTTGGCCTCATATTTTTACAGGAAATCCTGGTCTTTCTTTGGATCCATGAGCAAAGAAATGCAGAGATCATAAAACCTAAAAAAATCGCAATTTAGTTTTACCCATGACTATACTTTTGGCCCAGGATTCATAAGATGCAAAACTTCAGATTTGATTTTCCCAGAGAAATAAACTGTTGGTACATAATCCCTACTGTGATGCTGGTCTAACTAGAATATACATATTACTAGAATACTAAAACAACATATTACTGGTAAATTATCAAATTGAGTTTTTAACTCACCCAAAGTAATGCTGAATTTGTGGAGTTTCGCTGGGAGCATGGAGTATTTCGCACACAAAGACATTAATCTGGCCTTCAGTAAGTGGGACTTGTAGCTCTTCTGAGTCAAAGCATCACTCTGTAACACTTCCATTAAACACTGCTCTCCCTCTGAGTACTAAACACAGGAACAGATAATTATATTTAGTTTAGAGGAAAACAAACAGTCACTCAGATACTGATAAATGTGAGGTTACACTCTAAGAGGCAGGGACTGGTAGCCAAGGCTGTGCTCTGAGGAAAAATTGACAGAAACCAAGTGATCTGAACATGTGACATCCAGGGCATCTATGTGTAAACCAGTGATTTTGTTACAAATAGTTATGGTGAGTCCTGGGACTCATCTTGTGAAAAATTTAATGAGGTACCTGTACCAGTACTTGTCCAGTACTTGTAAGCAAATAACAAAATCTAAGGACATTTTAAGTTGCTTGTGAGATTTTATGGTATGATACTGTTAAAGCACCAATTTATAACCGGTGTTAAAATCCCATGAGTTCATTCATGGGTTCAGGTCTTAACAAAATCAGAAATTGCACATTTGGAGTCAATTCATCAGTGGCAAAACCTCTGCTGATACCTTGGATAACAACATCCATGTGCATGGCAACATTTTGTGCATCAATATTATTCTCTCAGATCAAAAAGGAATGGAAATGCAAAATACTTGGGAATGACAAATCGATAAAGACTGTAAGTATTATAATTTAGAAGAGCGTTACACACTTATGCTTTTGTAAACTATACACAAGCACTGACAAGCATAAAAAATATTAGCAAACACTCATACATTGCAAGTTGTACATTTAATGTACAATGTATATGTGAAATAGTAAATTTTATAACAGACTAATTGGACTACATGTATAAGTAAGTAGCTCCTGGCTTATAATTTTCATTATCCCTTGTGCTTAGAGGAATAAAGCAAAAGAAATGATTCAGAAACAACCTCACCTTTCCTGCCACAAACAGATAGTGACCCTTTGCCAACAGAAACTGGACCATAACTGAACCACTTGGTTCAAAGGTTTCCAGCACATCACCGGTCTGATGCAGCAGAAGACTGGCATGAGAAATGTCCAGTACATCACACAGAGTATGAACAGCTTCACTACAGGCAGATATTCTATTATCCAGCATACTGTTAGTGCTGATCGTTTGGGCAATGGTAGCAGCAAGATGAAGAGCACACACCTTCTTGAATGGCTGTAAAAAGTTAACAATTACTCAATGAATGGTTGCAAGGAAAACAGTTTACTGTAAATCCTTCTCCTACTGTAAGCCCCCAGAGGGCTTATTTTATTTGAAGCACATTTGCAGATTTTGTTTCCAGATTATTTCAAACTCCTGAGGTTGGATTGATGGACACATTAAGATATAAACTAGTTTCCCAAGGGACACTGCAAGTCACTGAAGTAGATAACGCATGATTTTCACCTGTTGATATGATTCCTTTCACCCTCAGCGACTAATTTTAGAAAGTTTTTTAATTATCTTGAGATTAACTTGTATTTATATACAGCTGTAGTCTTTTCATTGAAAACATGTTTTGTTTTTTTTTAATGAGTACTGCTTTAATTTTTAACATACTACAGTTATTCTTCTTCTTTTAGAACTCATCAGCAGAAGGAACCTAACACAGCTTGCGTCAGTTACTGTTCCATGAGACAGTCCCCAGAAACAGCCTTCTATTTCCTTTCAGTTTACCTGGTTGACAAGTCCAAACACTCCAGCAATAATCAGAAGGTAATGGCAAGTTTCCTCAGGGTTAACAAAGTGTTGCAAGTCAATCTGCAAAAATAACAACAGATATTGCTTAAATGAATCTATAGTATTTGTGCAGACAAATCAAGTTTCCAAACTTTTCATGTTTTAACCCGCGAGTAAGTTTTTACGGGATGAGAAAAAAAGAAGTGCTCTCTTTTCTTGCCTCTGATCCAGTAGGCATGTATCAAAAAAAAACTAAACTGCACAATAGTAATGACCAAACTCTACCTTTCTGTCTTTCCCTTCTTGCACTGATCTATTTGCTAACACTGTCCACATTTCCAATGCTGAATGAAGGAATGACATAAATGGCTGCTCCAGACATATGCCTTCAACCTAAAAAGAGAAATAAAATTATATGGGAATAAGTTCATTATGTAAGTTTGCAATTGGGTGCCAGTGGAAGGGGGCGGGGGCTAAATTATAAAAGGAAATACGACTATAAGCAAAGGGAGCAAGGGGTACACTGTATCACACCTGACCACCCCCGGTCCATTCCCATATATTTCTGGCCCTGGTTGTTCAAACGTTAGATAGGGCTATTCACCAGATAAATCACTATCCAGTCAGTGGATCAAATAACAAACAATTGTGCTATCCACTGGATAGGGATTTATCCAGTAGATAGCATTATCCACCTTTTGAACTGGGGCTAGATTTGCAATTTGTAATACTAAAGTGACTGGCTTCATAATGGGCCATATAACCCTGAATGACATTGTAACAAAACAGCTGGTTGAATGTCCCTTTACCTTTACCACAAGTTACACTCTGTGATTAAGCAAGAGCATGTTTGATGTTAATGTATTTTTGCTATTCCAAAGTCATTTACCTAAATGTAAGACAAAATGCCACATACTAAACCAAAACACACATAAGCAGTAGACTCACTTTTCCTCCTCAAGATCTTTGTTTCCAAGGCTGTGCAGTGTCACACCAAGCTCAAGCATCACTGAACCATAATGAAACTCATCATCTTGGATAATGTACAGCTCCATAAGCTGTCTGATGACAAAAATTTGCTCCATAGTGGTGTCGTAACTAGAAATAAGAGAACAAATAGACCACTTAATGGTGTGAAATATTGGCCAGAGTGGTTCAAAACAGAATTGGGATAAAGAATAACCCAGGATCATCTTTGTCGGAGTCAGCAACAGTCCTATTATATTCAGGATAACACTCACCCCGAAAATAATATTGTACCCACTTATGAAGTGACTCCTGGGTTCAAATGAACCCCCCAAATGACAAATGAATACACATGTATAAAAATAAGGACAAAACATTTTGGGAGACTGACTACAGTATATGAAATAAAAGAGAGCTTTTTTATGAAACCTTCTCATCAGCATAGGGCTGTTGCTAGAATTTCAAATTGTTGGGTATATCTACAGTTATGTAATTAGTAGGAGGGGAATTGTACAGCTAGGAATTCTTTTGGTTCTACATGTGTATTTTACTTTTGTTTTCTACAAGAGTAGCTTGGGCTCACGCTCGTAGTCACCGGGGGAAATGCCAGCCCCTGTTTCTTAGTGACAGTCCCATCCGCAATACATGCACATGACCTTAAAGTGTGACCGCGAAAACTATGAACACTTGGAATATCTCAAGAATGTTTCTTGAGTTATGACCAATCACAGCAAAGATCAGGACATGCCAACTGGCCACAAAACCACAAACTAACTAACGTTCTTGCTTGTGGTTTAATTTTCTCATGCCTGCCTGGCTTTTCTCTTGCACGACAAGAGCATTCCAGAAATATTTCTTGTGTTCATGGTTTTCCGGGTTAACTGTAATATTTCTTTCCAGGATCTGGTTTATACATGATTGTATGCTAATGAAAGAGCTAAATGGACAATTAAAATAAGGAACTCTTCCCTGTTTCTGCAACAGGTCCAGAAAGCTTGTGATGTCTGTGTTTTTGGGAACTTACTTCTTTGCCCTGTAAGAAGCAAGCTCTTCCTGAAGAACTAAACAAAGCTGACCGCTGTCAATACCATCAGCATCTTTCTGTTCTGCTAAAACACTACACAGGGTTCTACGGTAAACAGAGAAAAATAGAAAGACAGGTAAGACATGACATAATGTATTTGAACTAACAGAATCTCATACTTTTTAGAAAAGGGCACCTCACTGAAGGCTTCATGTATTCTCAACCAGTGGTGCGTGCCTGGTTTTAAGCAAAATTAATTTTTTAACGAAAATTCGCAACAAACCTTGATCTTTCAGCTTGTTTCTTTTCATCTTGCACACTTTTCACCAGTTCATGTTTCACTGTGGTCCACTGTTTGATCTGCTGCCTTGACACATTTGCATCACAACCAGTTTGAAGTGTTATAAGAACCTGAGTGGTAGCTGTTGTCAGTGCACAAGCCATCTGTTTGGTTCGTCGCTGACAGTCAGTCAGCAGTGCAAATTTTGTTAGGAGCTTCACCTGAAAGAAATCAGTTATATTAATTATTAATGACGGCACGACAGGACACATTATTGTGAGACCCATCTGGTGGGTTAACATCACAAGTGTTTGCTTCCTTTTCTCAGAAAAAAAGAAAATCATTGATGTGGCATTTTATGCCCAGTGCAAAAAAAATTAATTACAAGTATTTAATACCCAGTATTAAAACAATGATTGATGAGCACTAGTATCATAAGGATAAATTTGGTAACAATCACTATTGGGGCTTATCACAATGGTACATCATTTTAATCATTTTTACCTTGTGGCACAAAAGTTTTGCGGGTTCTAATTTTTGCGATTTTTCCAGGACACATTTTTCCTGCAAAAAATTTCTCCACAGTAAATATTTTCCAACTTAAATTCTTCCAATCGATCATCAGAACAATCAGTCATCCCAGATGTTACCGTAACTGAATGACAAAGAAAAGTAATCTGTTATACTCGTTTTACATACAGTGTAGGGTTCACAAACTGTAGCATTGTTTGAAACTTTTTTCACAGTATATATTTCCATTGTGCATATACTTAATAAGAAGGAAAATATTAACAATGATTGGTCTGGGACTTTCTGAAATCACAAAAATCAATTCCCAGCAAGAAAAACTGATCTCTCCTCATTACAAAATTTGTTCCCGCAAAACACAAAAATCGCAAACTTCCGCAAACATTTCATGCCACACAGTATGTTAGAAAAATTACAAGGCTTAAGGCCATTATTACCTCCACAATCCTTGTAAGAATTTCCTCATCAGTCTTGCCAGCAAAGCACCATACTCTCAGCTCTTCACAAGCAATTGCTAACAGAGGAACTGCTTCAGTAAAGCAATCTCTCTGATATGACACGCAGCCCAAATTGTACACATTGCAGCCTAGCCAGCGGAGCTCGTTTGGAGACAATGGGATGTCTGGATCATCAAGGGCAGAATGAATTACAGAGTTTGCTTGTTCCACTACTGGAATACAGTCGTTAAAGATCTGACATCTGCATAGTGTTAATAAAGAATGTGTTAACATAACAGTACAGTAAACTGTCCCAAGATTGATACCCAGTAACGTTTGACTCTGTAGTTCTTTGTAAGGGTCCACCAACAGCTGTAAATTCATTCATTCCCCTATTCTTTATAGATATTCTTACCAGATTTCTCTCAGTCTCTTTGGACCTTCCTAAACCCAGACTACTTACAGTACATCTTCCCCAAAATGCCATCTTGTCAGAGATATTGCCTACTGTGTATATCCCCATTTGTGTGCAACACAAAAAAGATATTTGCAATTTTGTTTCAAGAATCCTTAGGCTGACTGGCAAGAGTTTAGGATACTGGATATGCCATAAAAGTTTGAGCAGTGTTTACATGTATATGGTATGGTTCAAATTTATCCTTGGTTTACATTTTATTTCCCAGGGCCGAGTTGTTCAAAGCTGGGTTAAGATAACCCAGGGTTAGTGCGAGATTTGAATTCAGATTTAAAAGCTTAAAAAAGCATTTTAGTTTTAATTCTTTTTGTCCACAAGTTGATGCTTGGAAGTTCTAAAAATTACAGAGACAATTATCCAAGAAAATGCTTTTGAACATAAGAAAAAGAAACCCGGGTTAAATATAACCCCAGGTTAAGCGCTAATCGGCCATGGAACAACTGGGCCCAGGGTGCAAGGAAAGTAATTTTTACAGCTTGTCATTTGGGCAAGCTGAAGCTAGCATTTACTAGCCCAAACGTCATTTCAACTTAAGCCCCCAAAATTTTTTGATGAGCAGAATTGATTTTAAAGTTCTTCTGTAAGTTGAATTCCTCAAAATACTTCACTTGCCCATCAGGCAAGTTAAGAACAGAATTCAATAGACCAATGGCAAAATCCACTAGCCCCAGGGTATCAGATACTACTCTCTTTGCACACTGTTTCCCTTTGTTTTTCACTCATTTTCATCTATTAACATGCCCCAAAATAAAGAGAAATAAAACCACAACATACATGTAATCCTTTCCTTAAACTACAGTGTGTAAACTGTAGTTAACTGTTTTAAACGTTGTGTGATACTACTGACCTTGAATCCCTGATTGTAGTTTTTGCATCTTTTTCATTCTTCAACTGATCTTGATATGAAGAAATAACAAAACTAAATACTGTCATTTGCCGTTCCATGGTCTTTAGAACCTGTTGTTTCAGCTGTGCCACGATATTGTCATATTTGGATTTAAGCAGCTCTGACTTAGGTCGCTCACACTGCAAAGATAAGACTGAGATGTAAGACTGCAGCACTTGTACTGTTCCTTGAAGAGTCTTCAATGAAAGAGTGGGTGATTTTTCCTTACTCTTTTTGCTACTTTCATTTTGCAAATTAATTCTGAAATACTCCAGGGAGTCTGATAGTAGTTTTAACATTGGTGAAGGTAATGTGCTACACCTCAGGATCTGGGAGATTAGCCGGTTACTTTCGAATAATATCTGCTGAAGAGATTCTTGAGTTTGAGATTTTATAGTAGAGTTCAACAAAATAGCTGCCTTGCAGACTAAACACATACAGCAACAAACTTGTGGAGGTATTTGTAGTTTAAAATGACCATTTTTGCAATGGTTTTCATTTCCTGCAATTTTCAACAGGTTATCAAACACAGCCAAAGCTTCTGCTGAGTTTCCAGCCTTATTACAAATCCTGCCATAATGAAATCCAAGTTCAGCTAAGAGTACTGTAAATTCTTGTCCATTTGCGATCAGTTGTTCTTGCTTGTTCATGAGTGCACGAAAAATGGTTTCAAAGAAGCTTGCTAAGGTTTTAAAATCAACATTCTTGAGCTCACAATCCACTTGAAATTTTGTCCCACATTTCAGAGAGTCCTATCTACCAAGGATTTTAGTGAAGAATGTACATTTGCTTCTGCTTGGAAAAGTAATGAGAGCTTTCTCCAGTCTAACACAACACACAAGTGTGATGGTCATTCCCCTGGAGGTACTTTTGCTTCCTCAAGCTTCCCTGCTCCTTGAAGTAACAAATCAGATGAACGTAAACAAAGTGATCCAATTTCCTTCTCCATCTTTTCACTGTCATAGCTCTTCCATGCCTTAAGAGGCTGGATGAATTTATATAGGTCATTAGCATGATCCAGAGCCCTTTCAAACTGTGCCTTGGCAATGAGCTGAGTAACAATAAGGTAAAGTGTTTTAGCAAGCTGATCTACTGAAGGAATAAACTTCAGGTAGTTTCCATGATGGAGTGATAAAGTGTTGTTGAGAACTGTCCCCACTGAAATATGAACAAAACAATTTGCAAGTTACATGTAACTTTATAGCCCTCTATTAATCTCACACTTAAAGCGAATGTGGTTTGCTTATCGGACAACTTATATTTGAACCATATTTAAGCCTTACTGGCTCTGGATTATCAGATAGCACTTTGTTGTGCCCTGCTTACACCATCAGCGTGCAAAGAAAGTACTGTCCGATAGCCCTGGGCTAGCGGATTTTGCTATCGGGCTAGTGAATTCTGTTATTAACTTGCCCGACGGGCAAGTGAATTTTTTTGAGGAATTCAAATTACAGAAGAACTGTGAAATCAGTCTGCTCATCAAAACATTTTTTGGGCTAGTTGAAATGATATTTGGGCTAGTAAATGTTAGCTTCAGCTTGCCCGAATGGCAAGCTGTAAAAATGACTTTCCTTGCACCCTGACCATGTTGAAAATGCTATTTCCTTCCACTGTGAAATGTGTTGTATGTACCTGGGAGTCCTAGACCATTAGTAGGTTGTAAAGTTTTATTCTTCAGCGAAATTTTCATTTTACCTTTTTGCAGATGACACAAATTTGTTGTATGCCGACAAAAATCTTAAATCTCTTGAAAAAATGGTCAATTAAGAACTGGTCAGAGTCTCGGACTGGCTCAATGCAAATAAGCTAACATTACATGCTAAAAAAACAAACTTTGTTATCTTTTGTCCTCACCAACGTAAGATGGACCATTCGGTCATTATTCTAATGTTTGATAATAGTAATCACACTCTTACTTCCCTTGAGTGTAAGGATCATGTAAAATATCTAGGTGTCTTACTGGATAGTCATTTGAGCTGGAAATACCACATTGACAATGTAGCACTAAAAATAAGTAGAATTTCATTAGTAAGGTTTTGAAGCTGGTCCCATTTTAAGAGTAAGCATTAAGCTTATTTTAGGAACTCAGAAAAGACCTTACTCCCAAACAGCAACTAAAGATGTTCACATGCTTCATCTTACCTAGTTTCAAGGCATCTTTGACCTCAATAAGGTCATTTCCCTTGGCTTTCACATTTTTCAAGGTCTCTATAGCACACCTTAGGAACTTCGTACAAAAAACGGCGTACTTTGATACAGTTTCCGCTGTGGCTTTGCCTCCTGCTTGGCAGCCATTTTTGTTCTTTAGCGGACATTGCAGTAGAGCAAGATAATTTTGCAAGTTCCACCAAACAGTATTAAAAACAACATATCAAGGGTGAAGGCTACCCCATATAAATATGGAGTTAAGAAAAATGAGAGGCTTTGGCAAAAAAGACGTCTAAAATAAGTGTAATCTATTAGGTTGAGGTTCGCTTTCAAGTGACACTCATTCTAAGACCTGCTCATGAATGTAGTCTATGCGCGCGATTCTTGCAATTGAAGCTAGAGTGTAACAAGACGCTCGCTTTGAAATGAACTAAATTTTTATTCAAGGAAACGTTTTTGAAAGTGAGTAGCCATACAGATCGTAAGTACCTTCGCTAACTGAGCTACAAAGCGTCCTCAATTAAGCTACCATAATTTCTCAGCAGCTTAAATTTAGCAAACAGCTAAGTTTGATCAACTTACCTTCGTATCCTCATAAAGACCGCCTATCTCTCTGTTTAGAAGTGATTTGAGGATTCTTTCCCCTTGCATGTTTCTGTTAAACTCTGCCCATTACCAGTTTGTTTATGACATAGTGTTTTACAGCACACTTTCGATGGTGAAACTCATCAAACGAGTCAAAAATGGCGCCTTCGGACAGAGCTGAACAACGTCTGCGCATGTGCTTAGACGGGAGAGGTCTGGGATATAACCTAGTATCGTTTTCAAAGGGTTTTTCAAAACATCCTCACATTTTGGCGATTATTAAGGTGGATTCTAAATATTTAAGGTTCTCATTTAAACTAAAGGTAGATTATTTCATACTTTATTGAATTCTCGTTTCTACCCTTGTAATTTTTCTTCTACTTTTTTCTATGAACAAAAGAAGACGCACGAACGAAGCGTCCCTGCAATAATAGTATCGTTTGCAAAGGGATTTTCAAAACATCCTCACATTTTCCCGATTTTTAAGGTGGTTTCTGAATATTCAAGGCTCCCATTTAAACTAAAGGTAGATTATTTCGTACTTTATTTAATTCTCGTTTCTACCTTTGTAATTTTTCTTCTACTTTCTTCTATGAACAAAAGAAGACGCTCGAAAGAAGCGTCCCCGCTACAAATAGTATCGTTTGCAAAAGGATTTTCAAAACATCCTCACATTTTCCCGATTTTTAAGGTGGTTTCCGAATATTCAAGGCTCCCATTTAAACTAAAGGTAGATTATATCATACTTTATTGAATTCTCGTTTCCACCTTCGCAATTTTTCTTCCGTTTTTTGCTATGAACAAAAGAAGATGCACGGACGAAGCCGAAAACAGTTCTTTCATTCGAATGTGTACATTTTCAAGCGTAAACACATGAAAGAACAGACTATCAATATGTTATCAGTTCTAAGACATCGTCCGGACATCATATCAGTGTCAGCATTAAAGGTACATTTTATTTATCTTTGTTTTTCCTTGAATGATGGTCTTTTAGTTATTTCTCTTGTTATATCTCGCTTGGTTTCACTATAAGAACTGTAAGAACACAAAACAATCACTGAGGTTTCGAATTCAATCAAGTTCTTTCTTCCAAACTTGTTTCCCTTTATGACTCATTGTTAGCTCAGCTCAAAAGAGCTATTATAAATGTTTGTATATGACAACAGGCAAAATTAATGTTGAAAAGAGTAAATGGGTAAGTAATACAGTCGATGCTTGCTGGTAAAAGTATCAATGACTTGAAGTTCTCTAAAAAGCTTCATTACAGGGAGAAGAACTTTCATTTATTTTTCTGTTCAAAGTCTAGATCTTCATTCCTTGATTCTTCTGCTTCATTCAATCCTGTCATAAATGGAAAACCTATAGTTAATACGAAAACTCACATAGAGCTGAGCCAACTTGTGATTGTTTCTCACAACTTCAACAGCTTTAAACTTTAAAAGTTTATTAATTCTAAGCTTAAAGGTGCAAATTGAATTTTAAACAAACTTAGCAGAATAAATACTGATTCTACAGCTCGACCAGCGCCTCTAAGCCGGCTAGAGGTACGAAAAAGCTTCTTTCATCGCACTAAGATTTGTAACTAAGTTTATGACTTTCATGACTTCTTGTGTCTGATCAGGGTATCATCGCGCTCAAAGCCGGCTTTCTTGCCACCAAGAAATGGTCAACAACTGCTATCGCTCGGCCTACTTTTCAAAGATTTGCTCCTCCTTAACCAGAATAAAGAAATGTTAAAGTAAATCGTTGACGTACCATCGAAGAAAAGCCGCCCAAACTCCAGCACATTGCTCTTTTTTAATTTCTCAGTCATCTTTCTGCAAACTTACTGACGATCTGCATCAAAACAATGAAAAACCTTCGCCGGGACGGTCAAAAACATTTTCCTTGATCCCTGGATTACGTAACATTTCTTTCAATGAGTTGCATTTCTAACGTATTCGTAGAATTTCTCCTTCGTTGGCATTCGCAAATATGATTTGGGATGGTCGAAGATAAAATGGTCTCGCAAGAATTTCACTTTGCCCGAATGCTTCGCGCACGAGCTAGACTAGTAAACAAGTGATGTCACGGACATGTGTAGTACGTTATTCAGCCCTGTCGCGCCTTGCGCCTTCGTGCTTCTGCCCAACAACGCTTGTTCCCAGGGCACCGCGCATTTCAAGAACATTGTGTCGTGACGCAATGTGCGTGACGACTCAAAAGTTGTGTGACGACTGAGCCATCCCGTTGTTACTGGCTGATTAAGACTTTTTGGTCTTGTCAGCACAATTTTTGCTTTAAATAACATTCAACTCTAATTATAGTCGCTTTCTTAACGTCAAATCAGGAGCCTCGAAGTTCTTCCCGACTAGCGGCAAAATTTTCAAGTCGGTTTTTTCCAGTTTGTTTTTACTAAGGTTAAGTCGACAGGTTAAGTTTATTGTTTTGCCATCAGTTTTCAGCTAAGTACAAAAATATATAACTTCTATGTTGTCCTCGCAAGGTGGGGCCTTTTTTGTAAAAATGACAAATGTTTGGGGGTGGAATCTCAGACGTCCGAGATCGTTCCCGGCCCCTTCGCTTCTCTTCCTCAGGCGTCGGTTACTCAGAACAGAACATATCCAAAAAAGAAGAAAAACTAAGAACCTAGATGGAACTTACACGAGAAGTCTGCAAATGGTGAAAAATATAGTCTGGAAAGACAAGCAAAACACCTGCAAGGGCTGCAAGAGGGAGGTAGTCCGACAACTGCCTACATAAAGACATTGCGGAGGGATATTGAAAGGGAGAACGTTAGAGATCTTGTAGCCCTAGGTACAAATATCACCTAAAATCGCCTAAATATGTTTCTGGAAATTCCCAATTTTTTTCTACATATCTGGAAAAAGTTCTAAAAATCTCAAAAATATTTGGCTTCATTTCACAAATAGTACAGTAAAAACACCAAAAATTAGCCTGTCACCTGAAATGGCAACACAAATTTCAGGAAATGACTTTTTTGTATACAACATACAACAAAACTCTGAACAACTTCACATAAAGCTGGCCTTATTTCAGTACCTCGCAGCCTCCAAGAAGACTAGGGCGCTGCACTTCAGTACAGGGAGCCACCTGAAAGACGATTTGGTGCTGGAGGTCTAAAGCGGTCCTAAAGGGACACTACTGTTTCTTCACGTGCGTCACTCAGAGGGAACCTCATTAGGAACTGTATGAATTACTGTAGCTGATCTTTCAGCATCAGTCATTTTGTTAAACATTAGCCACATGACATATATTACTAGCAGTTTCCAGTGGCAAGTGAAGTGCTGGGAGTAAATAAGGCAAGACATTTCAAATAATTTGCATCAGTTGCAGTTTATTTAGTCTGCTTTACTGTCGTCACTCAACGCTCCTCCCCACTTGATCAATTAAAAATAAAATACAACAAAGCCTGGCTGAATACAAATTTAGACAAAACACAGACTGAGAAACATATTGCTTCAATTCTTGGGAATTTTACCTTCACTTGCATTCATACTCTTCGCTTGCAAAAACGTGGCTTTCTAAACGAAACAGGATTTCTCCCGGGGTCACACCCTATTTGGGGTTCTGAGTGTTTTTTTGTTTTCTTTCTCAATCGGTTGACTGCGAACGAAAGAGCCTCGATTTCAAGGGCCGTACTTGAAATGGAGGCAAATGCGGTGCTATACATACAAAAGCATATCTCGGCTCGATTACTAGCCGCTGTTCGGTAAATGAGCCCGCGCTCCTTCTCCTCCTGGGGAGGAACGAGATAGCGGCGGAAATAGAGCCTGGCTGATGTCGTCAACAAACGAATACCCATCCTCGGAGACCCAGGGGCAGATAGTGGGGGCGAGGGAAAGTCTAAACGGGCGGGAAAATAAGGCACGAAGAAAAGTAAAGAACGGCGAGAAGAGCCCCTGGGGACAATGCCTTACCAGACCAATTCTAAACGGTCGCCGCCGTTCTGGCTTCTGATTGGTGCCAGAAAAACACAAGTTTTCTTTCCCTCGCCCCCACTATCTGCCCCTGGGTCTCCGAGGATGACGAATACCTAGAATTCTTGTTTTCTTAATATGGATTGTAAAACCTTCCTGAAAACGACTACCGAAACTTTCTCTTAGTCTCATAATAAAACATATGTAAAACATCTGCAAACACTTATAAACAGAATCGCCAAAAGGCGATTTTAACAGGGCTGCCAATTTTCCTGGGGAAGGGGGTGGCTGCAGACTTAGGCCACCAGACTTGTCGCTGACCATTCCGTGACGTAACATCTCATTTGAGAGTTTTAAAAACAGTTACTCACTTGAACATTTACCCTTTTGGAAGATGTTACAATATGTGTGATTTTATAATCATTAATTAGGGTTACACTTGGATCTAATGTCACCTTTTGATATACTCTGGATTGTACTTGGTCGTAATAAATCGAACCTAAACAGAAGACTTTCGTAACAAGAAAAATGGGTACCATTTTTTAGTCGGGGCTGTTTAGTACCTTTTCAAATTCCACCAATATGAATAAAAACTAGTAATGGCTGACACCACAGCTGTCCCCGTTCTAGCCTGTTTTTAATAAGGCTCCAAGATAGTGGTTAAAAGTCGTTCAGTAAAAAGAAATGCGAAAAACGCGCGGGGGCTGGGAAGAGACCGCCCCCCGGTTCCCAAGTCGCGCGCGTCTTATTTTCGCTTTGCGCGTTTTAATACGTCCCCACTATACTATCTGAGAGCCTGGCACAAGCTACGCCCGATCTGTATACTGTCGGTCAATAGTATTCTTGGTCGTTGCGTAGCTCTTTGATATATACCTATTCATTATGAATATTTAATTCACACATATTCCATACAATAGGTGAGATAAAAACAGGAAATGCAAGGTTCCAAACACAGTTTCAGTTCGATTTACACAGCTTTGAAAAAATATTCTCGGTTTCGAGAATAGCGTATTCTAAACTATCAGAAGAGATTTACAGTTCATTTTATTTGTCGGCAAGTAAGCCCCCTGCTTAGAAATGAAAAGGACGTTTGATAACTTCACGGTCGCGCATTCTAGACTTATTAAGCTGATTTAGAAACAGAATGGGAACGTCAGTTCAGGACGGCGCGCGCAAATCAAATAACTGGCTTGACCAATGGCAGAGCGACAAATTGGGCACCGGAAGTCGAGTTTACTCCTTTCCGCGCGCTTTCCCGTCGTCAACTGACGTTCCCGTCTTGTTGCTAAATCAGCCTATTTTAAACTTTATAGCGGAAGGACATCTGTGAGTAGGGGATAAGTCAGCACAGAATTTGATTGTCGGCGAATTTCTGTAATCGTCAATCGTTCTGCTAGTGATAAGCTAGCCGCTCACTTTACTCATCTTCCTTGTTTGGGGCTGAGTCTTATTCCAGTCAAAGAGAGAGAAAGAGTGTCTGGCAAGGTTTCCAATCAAAGATTTGTGAACTTGTGTCTGACAAAACTCCTCAAGTGTATATTTAACAATTATTCACCGAAATGGAGGTAGCTAGGGGTGGATATAAGTGAGTTTACGCAACCAAGACGGCGATGGCAACGAGTACAGCAAAAAAGAAATAGATTTAGACAAGCAAAACAACAACTTTGTTGTCACGCTTTTTTATACATTTCTCTGCCGTCGTTGCACGACTACAACCTGAAACTGTCTAATTTCTCGTTTTGTTGAGGACGGGAACAAAAAGACAAAAACTTTCTTTTTCTTTTCCTCAACTTTGATGCAGTCCTTTAGAATTCAACTCCAAAAAAATTTGCCAACATTTGACGAATTAAACGAGATGGAATAAGCTCGATAAGTCTGAGACAGCGCAAATTCACTTTTTAAGGTGGTAGTTTGTGGTTATATGTTATTTGTCAAATCATGGCAAGAGAAAGGTTGCAGCTCACAAGCTGAAAGTTGGCAAGTGAAAAATATACTGATAAATGATTTGATCGACAGGTAGAATGTGACGTTTTCGTTGTTTCCATGGCAACATGAACGATTGAATACAACCTTAAAATTTCACTTTTGCTCAGTTTACATCAAATTCGCTCATTAGATTTTCCTATAAACTTGCGCACAGCTTACTATAATTAATCATTACCATTAGACAGGTTTTCAGATAATCAATAATATAATTGTATTGTAATTGCTAAATTTATCACAAAGTTCTTCTGTTCAACTTCCATTTTAAAGTTATCATTATTTAAAATACGATAAAAGTCAAAATTCTGCCAAATATCACAAAATTTAAATGAGTAGATTTTGAGAAATCGTCTTCTGTGTACCATTGCTTTTTTCGCCGCCGTGTTTGTTTGTCTAATTTAAAACTCGCGCCCTCACGCGGATTACCGCTGACTGCCCGCAAAACTGTGTTCAGACGAAGCACAGTTTCCCCTCTACTGAAACGTCTGACATGTCTGTACTGAGCTGTCTGCAAATACTGTACTGTACTGTACTGTACTGCTGTACTGTACTGTACTGTACTGACATGTCTGCAAATTTTTAGAAGACGCGGATCGTCAGCACACATTGATGTGCAATTAGTTTTCTCTTGGGCTCCCAAACCAGCTAAAAGTGTGAGAGTAAACATTGGTTATCCTGTGGTGCGGACGGACGGTCCCTCGCTCGCTCGGTGTACGGTGACGTGATTACCAAATTTTCTGGGATGGGTAGATTACCACATTTCCTTAGCCATGGGGCTCCGCCCACGCTAGCCTGAGATCATGCCCTCTCCCTATTATCCCTTTATGTCTCTCACGGGAAGAGGGCATGATACATTTCTTTGTCGGATCACATGTAAAAATGCCAGAATCTGGACTTTTTTCTGATTGGATAGGAAACAATGCGGATGATTTGCGCTGTTCCGATTGGCCAAAATGACGCCATCCGTTAGTTGTTGTTGATTTCAGTCTGCATTTTTGCTTGCGTAATAAGCAGTGAATACACACGCGAGTTCGTTATGAAATTTCTGCCCGCTCAGTTTTCTTGAATTTGAAGAATGCCTAAATAGAAGTTTCATCCATTGAAATATTTACCATCTCATCGTATACCAAAACAGTTGCAGTCAAAACTTCACCGATCATTTGAATGCAATTTGATACCGGCTACAAGTTACAGAAGCGACAAACGGGTTCATTTTTCAAATAATCAATTCATGAATGGAATCTTGACCTGGTTTGACTGTATTTCCTCCTTCGGAAATCCTGCTGCAAATTATTCTGAGCGATCTTCGCTTTCACAACACCTTTCAGTTCGTGAAATATGGTGCTTCAGCCTAATTTTTTTTCCACTGCTTTCGTAGTACAGAACGAAGTCAACGAGCTTTAACCAGTAAATTCTTTATTATTTGTAGCTATTCACAAAGGTACGACAGCTCCAGCTAGCAGTATTTCATCACAAAAACAACACATTAATTTTTTTTTTTTACGAAGCGCCATCTGAACACGGACGTACTTAAAAAATTTTTTCCCCTAAAACTGATTTCAAAAGAGACATTATTCGCGCCAAAATTTGATTCCCGTTTGGTAAACGCTTATTGGCTAAAAACATGACAGGTCAAGCAAACGGTAGATCATGTAAATTAGGGGGCGGTTGACTGCTTGTTAAATAAATGTATCAGGCGTTATTTTTTTTCCCTCTCGAGCCAAAGAAGCAAAAAAAAAAAAAAAAAAAAAAAAAAAAGCCTGATCTCAGGTTACGCCCACGCGCGCGCGAATACGCACAACTGATCGATCATGTAAACAACTAATCGATCTTAGTCACAACTGTCAACTGAACGAAAATACGCACAACCGATCGATCATATAACAACTGATCGATTTTAGTCACAACTCAATGAAAATACGCACTACTGATCGATCATATAACAAATGAGCGATTTTAGTCACAACTCAATGAAAATACGCACAACTGATCGATCATATAGCAACTGATCGATTTTAGTCACAACTCAATGAAACTACGCACAACTCATCGATCATATAACAACTGATCGATTTTAGTCACAACTGAATGAGAATACGCACAACTGATCGATTTTAGTCACAACTGAATGAAAATATGCTCAACTGATCGATTTTAGTCACAACTGAATGAAAATACGCATAACTGGTAGATTGTGCCAGCCGAATTTACGCTGATCAATAGTATAGTACCCGACAACTGATCGATAATAAACTGTACGATTATCAGCAAAACTGATCGAAATTTGAGACAGCTTTCCATGGTTGATTACGGATATATGATCGATTTTAGACGACAGATTACCGACTGATGATATGCTGGCTGATTGATTTTACGTATCTGGCAGAAAATTAGCACAATATATAAATAATATACCACCGCAGTTCAAATATGAATTATTTCATATACTTCACATCATTTCACTCCTCACGGGAGATATGAACTCAATAAATTGACCTCGCTCCCAATGTGTGGCTTCATAGCTCAGTTGGTAGAGCAACGCACCGGCAACGCGGAGGTCACGGGTTCGAATCCCGTTGAAGCCCTGATTTTTTTTCAGGCTTCTTTCCAATTGCTTAAATTGACTGCGATGATCATTCTTCACTTTCATCTACCACCGCAGTTCAAATATGAATTATTTCATATACTTCACAATAATATTTTAATTGATCGATAACTGGTCGGTAAATCTGATCCGCAAAACTGATTGATTGGAGTTCATAGTAAACTATTGAGAGAGTGTTCTTAATAATGACGACGAAAAAGCAATAATGGAAAGATCAAGGAGTCCGTCTTTCTGATTTTAAGCGCTTATATACATGATTCAGAACAGAAAAATATCAGAAATTTATAACCAATTTAAAAAAATAATTTTGAAACAAACGGCGCGCCATAATATGAATCTTTGTGGCTTTCCGGGTTTTGGGAATACATGAGCTCCCCTCCACCGATAGAATAAGTGGGTAAAAGAGTAGCGGGCGTGTGCGGGAGAATGTTGTAAGTATAAAATGATAGTAAAATAGGTGAGGATTATAGTTACTCTCGCTATGTTTGTCATCAATTTTGTACAAACTAGGTTAACGTTAGCTTAATAAGAACACAATCTTCTCTTTAGCTGATGAAACAGCTTAGCGTATTCTCCTCTCAACAACAACGTTACTGAGGGAGTAAAAACGACTTGAAGTTACGTCTGAAATTCAGGCTAGAAAAAACTGGCCCTTTTTCACTTTGAAAGCAAAAAGGCTAAATTAGACATTAAACATTTATTGGTTCTTGAGGATGAAGTCGTCTTGTACTTGGGATTCCCTCTTGCGACTGTCAACGGTTGTGGAGCTTCCGGTTCGTCCTCTTTTTTCTTTGTTGTATACGAAGAACATTGCCTCAGTGTTTTCTTTGATATGAGATGAGCCTCTGTGAGCTTAATTTCCTGTACTTGGAACAGAACTGACGCCAGGTTCATTTTCTGTTTCGTTAGTTTTTTGCCTAAAGCCCATTTCAAACTTAAGATGTTGCTTTTTCCTCTCCCCTTCATTCTTGAAGATTTCCAGTCTTCTGGCATCCTTTTAATCAGCTATAACCACACTAATATCAGCTTCAAGGTCAACAAGCTTCATCACAGCTTGCGAGTTACCATGTCTCCGGGCCACTTGAAGAGGAGTCAAACCTTCTGCATCATGGATGTTTATGTTTTGTACCCCATACTTCACCAGGAGATCGATTATCTTACTGCAATCTCTTTTTCTACGAGCTGACAGGTGCAGCGGGGTAGAGCCATCTTTACCTTGAATATTTACATCTGCGTTGTGTTCGAGTAACAATCTACAGAGGTTTTCGTTACCCTCTCTGGCACACAAGTGCAAAGGTGTATATCCATCTGCATCTTGAATATTTACATCCGCGTTGTGTTCAAGTAACAATCTACAGAGGTTTTCGTCACCATATATGGCACACAAGTTCAAGGGTGTATTTCCAACTTCATCTTGAATATTTACATCCACATTGTGTTCAAGTAACAATCTACAGATGTTTTCGTTACAACATGTGGCACACCAGTTAAAGGGTGTAGATCCATTTGCATCTTGAATATTTACATCCGCGTTGTGTTCAAGTAACAATCTACAGATGTTTTCGTTACCATATGTGGCACACCAGTTCAAGGGTGTAGATCCACCTTCATCTTGAATATTTACATCCGCGTTGTGTTCAAGTAACAATCTACAGATGTTTTCGTTACCTTCTCTGGCACACCAGTTCAAGGGTGTACGCCCACCTTCATCTTGAATATTTACATCCGCGTTGTGTTCAAGTAACAATCTACAGATGTTTTCGTTACCTTCTCTGGCACACCAGTGCAAGGGTGTATCTCCAGAATAATCTTTCATATTTACATCCGCGCTGTGTTCAAGTAACAATCTACAGATGTTTTCGTTACCCTTTCTGGCACACCAGTTCAAGGGTGTACGTCCACCTTCATCTTGAATATTTACATCCGCGTTGTGTTCAAGTAACAATCTACAGATGTTTTCGTTACCTTCTCTGGCACACCAGTGCAAGGGTGTAACTCCAGAATAATCTTTCATATTTACATCCGCGTTGTGTTCAAGTAACAATCTACAGATGTTTTCGTTACCCTTTCTGGCACACCAGTTCAAGGGTGTACGTCCACCTTCATCTTGAATATTTACATCCGCGTTGTGTTCAAGTAACAATCTACAGATGTTTTCGTTACCTTCTCTGGCACACCAGTGCAAGGGTGTAACTCCAGAATAATCTTTCATATTTACATCCGCGTTGTGTTCAAGTAACAATCTACAGATGTTTTCGTTACCCTTTCTGGCACACCAGTTCAAGGGTGTACGTCCACCTTCATCTTGAATATTTACATCCGCGTTGTGTTCAAGTAACAATCTACAGATGTTTTCGTTACCCTTTCTGGCACACCAGTTCAAGGGTGTACGTCCACCTTCATCTTGAATATTTACATCCGCGTTGTGTTCAAGTAACAATCTACAGATGTCTTCGTTACCCTTTCTGGCACACCAGTTCAAGGGTGTACGTCCACCTTCATCTTGAATATTTACATCCGCGTTGTGTTCAAGTAACAATCTACAGATGTTTTCGTTACCCTTTCTGGCACACCAGTTCAAGGGTGTACGTCCACCTTCACCTTGAATATTTACATCCGCGTTGTGTTCAAGTAACAATCTACAGATGTTTTCGTTACCCTTTCTGGCACACCAGTTCAAGGGTGTATCTCCAGAATAATCTTTCATATTTACATCCGCGTTGTGTTCAAGTAACAATCTACAGATGTTTTCGTTACCTTCTCTGGCACACCAGTGCAAGGGTGTATCTCCAGAATAATCTTTCATATTTACATCCGCGCTGTGTTCAAGTAACAATCTACAGATGTTTTCGTTACCCTCTCTGGCACACCAGTTCAAGGGTGTAGATCCACCTTCATCTTGAATATTTACATCCGCGTTGTGTTCAAGTAACAATCTACAGATGTTTTCGTTACCCTTTCTGGCACACAAGTGCAAGGGTGTATATCCATCTGCATCTTGAATATTTACATCCGCGTTGTGTTCAAGTAACAATCTACAGAGGTTATCGTAACCCTTTCTGGCACACCGGTGCAAGGGTGTATATCCATCATTATCTTGAATATTTACTTCTACTTTGTTTGCAAGTAGTAATTTGATAAGATTTCCGCCACCTCTTCTGACTGAAATGTGTAGTGGTGTGAATCCAAAACTGTCCTGAACATCTACATAAGCTCCGTGCCTTACTAGCAAGCACACTGCCATATAGTTGTTCCAAACAGCCGCTAATTTTAATGGTGTTTCTTTACTCTTTTTTCTTTGGATATTTATGTCGGCCCCAAGATCAATGAGGGTCTCAATGAACTGACTTGAGGATGAACGACTCGCCTGCATCAAAACTGTGTAATCATTATCTGACGCTCGGGCATTAATATCTACACCGTCATTTAATACAAGCTCAACAGCTTGTTCCGCATCATCATTACATGTAGCCCACTGCAGCTTAGTCTGTCTACGGTTGTGCTTAGCACACTCATTATGAAGTCTTTTGATACTTTTAAAACTTGGAAGTCCTTGAGCTTTTAAAACAATGTCATATTCTTCCTCTAAGACAGCCGCCGCCTGGAGTAGATTAAATCCAGCCTTTTTATCCAATTGCGTGAAAGCTTTCCTTGAGAGTTTTTTTAGACTGACCTGTTAAAAAATGACCAAGTTTATAAGAGAAAGTGATAAAGAGGAAATCCATTTTATACTACATGTAAGTAGATTTTTGCACGGGTTGCCCTGTATTCATATTGCAGATATACGTGTTCTACACAAAATGAAGTGGTGGTAGCGGTTGTTGTCGTTACAAGTCTATGACCTCATAAGTTGACGCAGAAATGTGAGACAGTTTTTCGGGCACAATCTGCCATAACTTACTGGTTGATGAGGACACGGCCTGGCATCATTCTTCAGAAGCAACTGCACTATGGAATGGTGGTTCTGACGTTCGGCTTTTTGCAGAGGAGTACGCTGAAACTAAAAACATTATATCGAAGCAGAGTTAATTGTGTTACCCACTTTTGACTATTTATCATAGAAACATTTTAACAACGGTAATTCTACATAACTGCATATCTCCGCTTTGTCTACACAACGTAACGTAAAGGGTGATATAGGTAAGAGTTAGAGGCCGATTTCGCAGTTGGGATTAGAGCAAATTCTAGTGCAATGAAACGTTCAAATCAAAACGTGTTCTGAGAGATCATAATTTACTGATCACCGGAAATAAATTTTAGTTATTTAACAACTCTTCGTTGAGCTTTGTCCTTTGTCCAGTTATTTTCACGTGCAACCTCACGTGAACTGAACCCCATGAACTATTCGTTGTTTATTTGACCAATCACATGGCACTCTGCCATGTTCCTTAGTTTACACTCCCATGATATGCTTCATCACTCTGTTTTCTTTTCCCTTCCATCCCACCCACTACAGTAATCAATTTCGGCGTCAACACGTGGATGTCCCTTTCGGTTTAGAGTTTCAACCTGATGCACTGATATGACATCTAATTAGTCAATTTGGTTGTCTCTATCTTGCACTTCTACTCTGAAGACAGTTGTGATTTTCAAAAAAGGTGAGAATTGGGATAAAGTCCTCCTCTCATCACACTTTTGCCCAATAGACTCGACATTTTGTACCCCTGGAATATACATATACGTTTTATAGTGGGGGCCCTAGAGAGGCCCACGATTGGTCACAGTCGACGTTAAGGTGAGGCCCAACTCCATTCCCTATTGCGGTCTGTGCACCTTCCATATTTACCCAAGAACGGTCACAGTCGGCCCTGGAATAGGCCAAACTCCCTCCTCCATACCGGTATGTGTACCACCCTGGTGGTGAGTTCTTTTTAGCTCACAAAAATCCAGGAGTAAATGGGGCCGACCTTTTAAGATTCAGTTGAGAACTTTGTGACAAACTTTCCCCTTTTCAGCCACACCAAGTTGTTGTTTTTGTTGCTGTTTAGGATAATAATTTTGGGTCTGATCCCGAACAAGAGGAAACAGATTAAGGGAAACTGGACTCTAAAAAGTTCGTAAAGTTCGTAATAAGTAAATATTTGTAAGATGTGAAGGTATTAAAAACGCAAAAAATGAAGGAAAAATTTCGAAAGTTTTGTTCTCAACTTACGGTTTAATTTTGTTCTTCCCTGATACTGTTTTTAAATCAAAGATTTCTACCACCCATTTTTCCGGTGAATAACAAATAAAAACTTGTGTATTAGCACAAAAAACCTTCACTAACAAATTACCATTGGAATAACACAAATGTGCTATGTACCATAGTAAAATAGGCGCTTGTATCAATACTGTTGCTAGGGTAAATTTAATAATTGGCCAACATAAAGAGATTCCTGTGTGAATCAGTAATACTGGACAAACAACAACCTCCCTTACCCCACCCCTTCATTGCACTATATTATTCAATTGAAGAAAGTTCACTGACTCACCCTGTCCTTAGCGTTGACGTTCGCACCGTGTTCTAAAAACAATTTGACCACAGATTCCTGTCCATACCAACAGGCAAGATGAAGAGGTGTCAAAGAAAACTACAGAAAAGAGGACAAAAAACGTAGTTTTTCCAAGAAATATTTGTTAGCAAATAGAATTTTTATGTCCTTACCCGAGAAGTGTTGTCAATCGATTATTTAAAATGGGTTTTTCACTTGAATGAGTAATTATCAATTCAGGACAGGGTGAGTGGTTGGGGGCAATCCTTTGTACCCCCCTATAGGGCGCATTGTTGATCACGCGGGGACGCGCAGTTATGTGTCATTCTGCCTCGCTACTTCAGTGTGAAAGGACGTCGACCTATAGCTAGTTTCACCCATATGGCATCTGTGTCTTCATTGCCCAGTAAACAGAGCACAGCCAATGCAGTACCTCAGTTTAACGTAATATAAACGAGAGAAAGACATAAATGGAGGTTGAAATAAACCACATAGTGCAGTGTAACGATGGCCTATTATAAAATAAATGGAGGGCGTGTTGTTGTACTAATTTTTAGCCTCTTTACTATGTCTTTGTTAGCTAGTTTACAAGGAAGAAACCAAGTGTAACACTAAAATTGAGCCCAATTGCAACGTTGTAGGTCACCGTCCATTAAGAATTACAAAAACTTGGCCAACATTTTTTCATTGAGAATGCTGATAGTCAGTTTATATCAGGGAAACATTCTTTCAGAACATTTTCAGGATGCTATCGTAGAAAAAAGCAAACAACAACAAAAAAGAAAAATAAATCTATATCATTTCCATTCTTCGTTTGGCCTTCCTTCATAATTCCTTGGCGGGCAAGTACAGTGGAGCCCCGCCCAACGGACACCCGCTTAATACGGACACCCATATATAACGGACAGTTTCGTCTGTCCCAACGAAAAGCTCATATATGTCCTCTTAAATCGGTGAACATCAGTTAATCCAGACAAAGCATACTTTCTGTGTCCCGTGTCTGAGAAATTTCACAGGAGAGGTATGAAAAATATTGGTTATATTTAGAGCAAATAAGCATCTTGCAGTCTCTCGTTAGTGCCTTAAGAATCTCAATGTCCTAGGTTGTTTGGATCTCAGAGCTTTTCTACTTGATAAAAGTGACATCTAAATGATTGGAGTGGATAAGACCGTAGCTGACTAAAACAGGTGTCGATGTAAGGACAAGGTCGAGGACGTTTTGAATCTTCTGACATGTCGATGAGTGTGCACTTAAGTTAAAAATAAACCAAAGCAGTTTAGGCCATGGCCAGAGATCGAAGGAGAGGAGATAAACATATTAACATATTAAACTGTACAAGACACAAACCTGATCTTTTTTATCCACATCTTCACCCCTTTCAAGAAGTACTTTGATTGTTTCGAACTGTCCATTGATAGCAGCCTTGTGTAGAGGGCCTCTCGACGCCTGTATTTTTTTTTCAATCCATTAGTCAGAGAGCAATCTTAATTATACCTTAACACTATTGGTCCAGCTACTGCCACTAATGAATGGATATTTTCTGCTAATAAATTACAGCAAAAGCTCTCTCCATTTCTACAACTTAACTATCTGTACCTCTATGAATACTGTAGATAATGACTGAGTACTGAGAATAAGTCCTCCAGGGCGTTCCATGGTAAGAGGGCTCTCCAAGTGAACAATGAAATATATTTTTTGCTATTACTTTGGGATTCACGCGTGATAAATGGGTGCAGATGAAAAAATTGGCGGCTTTTGTTATATGGCCAAATCTCACCAAAAGATGTAAATCGCCATTTTTTTCACGTAAACGAGTATGGTGACTCATTATTTTATTCTCATAAAATTAAGCAAAAACTTTTCTTTCTGGAGAAGAAATATGAAACAATTCCTCGTCCCAAAAAAGAAGCAGCCGTCGGAAACATGTTGAAACATGTACTAGCTACACACAATGTGCCGCTTCACCTAAAAGAGTATACGGGGACCCCACGTGTTAAATTCCTTCCAGTTAAACTACCAATATAAAGTTAAACAAGAGGAATGACCTTACGATTTTGCAACTCAAAATAAACAAGCGTCTGCTGAGTTAAATTTATGTAAGAGTCATTACCAATATGGCATTTCCAGACCTGCCCTGGAGGGACGTCTTTCTTATATTTTCGTGCTTTGTAAAAATGAAAAGGTTCACACTGCACCGTACATCCCATTGAACTTACCTTTGCCTTCTCGGCTCTCTCCATATGGATCAGGACTTGCTTCTTGTCCTAGGATGATTAAAAATAATATTACTGAACCGCCTTTCTTGTTTACAACTACGCAATAGACTCACTTATGAATGCTCTGAGTAGTGGATAAGGCACCGGTTACTCCTTTTCTTTGCGGGGGAATTTCATTAACTTGCGGGGGAATACATTAACGCAGATGACGTCCTACATCTCATTAAGATAGGATGATGTCATAGTTTAAATTAATGCCGATGACGTCACGCATGTCATATAGATAGGATGATGTTATAGTTTATTTGTAGCTGGCAAGGAGCAAGTGACGTCAGAATTTCCTAGAGTTGACGTCATCAAAAAATGTTGAGATCATAATCTATAAACAGAAAAGTGATTTTCATATAATTAGCTATTTGCTACAGTCTTCTGATTAGATATTGTTTGCTATAGTCTTCTGATTGGATATTGTAGAAACTGTCATGTGTTCAAAATAAAAGCGGGCAAATTTTGAACGTGTTCTCTTTGCAGATTATACTAAATGAAAAATCTTTAATCATTAAATTATTTTCGCTAAAAATCGGTTATAAACAAAACCAAGACACGGAGGTTAACTGAAAATTCAAAAGAAGGGAAAAGGAGGTTAAGCGAATGCGAAATCGTACAAATTTTTGAGGCAAAACATGAAAACGAGGTCGAAGCTCAGCGAAGCGAAAACCTGCCTATCAAGCAAAAATGTCAATCTTTGTTTACTTGACTCTGTAGAAAGTATTGCACAGGGTATGAAAGTTCTATAGAAAACAACAGGTGGTTCTAAAGTAAACCCTAGCTCTTTTGGTTCTTAAATAAACCCCATTCTTGTTCCTAATGAGTGGAAAGTCTATTTATAAAAATAGGAATAAGAGGTGCGATCGCCTAGCAACACATGTCTTCTTGTTTAGCGCTAAAAATCGGATATATAAACAAAATACACACACACACATACTCAGAGTGGAGCTGAAAACTCTCTATTTCAATTTTGACTCACCATTACGAAAGCGTTTTCTCCGTTCCGAATAACGACTAACTATTGAAATCTCAGCGCTTGATGAGCTTATGGTTTTGTCAATAGAGCGTTTTCACTCACATGGCCAGCATCTATGCTAATTTATTGGAACAAAAGAAAACATTTACATGAGAAAAGAGTTCAACTCCCCGAGGATTTTCTGGGTACACCAACATGGCCGCCGTTTCATTGTTTTGGAACACCAATATGGCCGCCGTGACGTCATGTGAAAACGCTCTATTCAAGCGCCGATAATCAGTTAATTATGCGGGTTAACAAGCCTAAACTTGAATAGAGCACTAAAGTGATGACGTCATAAAAACGAAATTTCTGAAATTATGGGATTTGTCAGGATATTCTGAAAGAACAATGTCCAAGAGGCCTACTTACCAAAAATGAGCATTTCGGGGCAAATTGACTCTGAGATGTTAGCCGGTGAAACTCAGAAAACTCCATACAAACCCTTCTAGTTTTTTTTTGGGTCGACCCAAAAAAGATTTAGAAGGGTTTGTATGGAATTTTCTAAGCATAACTGGGCTACGATCTCAGGAACAATTTGCCCAGAAATGCTCATTTTTGGCAAATAGGCCTCTTGGGCATTGTTCTTTCAGAATATCCTGACAAAACCCATAATTTCAGAAATTTCATTTTTATGACGTTACACTTTAGTACTCTATACAAATTAGTTTATCTCTATAGCTAGACCCAAGGGAGCACCTTGACTTATTATTGTAAAAACACAAACAATTAATAACTTAACAAGGGTGAATTTAAACTCGCGACAAATAAATTGACAAGACACGAGATACAGTTTTTAAAACTTTATTGAAAACCAGTGACAAAAAGAGTCAAACACACAGCGATTTGGAAGGGATGGAAATTAATCATCTTCTTCGCCCATGGAGTACTTGTAAGGTCTAACTCGAAATTTCTTATGCCGAGTTCGTTTCCTCTGTTTGCCATGAGCATTATGATCGTCCAAATAATTTACAAATTGAATCCGACGCCTTTTGCGCTTCGGGCCCTGTGATGGGGTTTCTACTTTGGGAGGAGGGGTCAGGAAAGCAGGATTTAAAGTTAGTGGTGCGGTGGAGCTTTGGTTTTCAGGTTTTTGTAAGATAGCCGCTTGTGTTAATTTAGGTGTTACGTTGAAGGGTTTAATGGGAGTGGAGAATGCTGCCGTTGCTGTCGAAGAATCTTGTGTGCTTGATGTTAAGTCTGGAACAGTGCTTTCTTCCGGTCGTGTTCTTGTATTTAATTGTTCTTTAAAAGCCAGGTATCTGTTTTGCAACTGAAAGTATCTCTTAGCTTTTTCATCGTCCCGAAGATCGTTTCGAAAAAGCAAGTCATCCATGTTGCCCTGTATTTCTTGCATAGCTGGAAGAAGTGGGACAGGCGAAAGCTTTTGCTGCTTTAGATATTTTGAAAGCTCTTGAGGAATATTTTCTTGAAACCCTGCTTGGTTAAAACCTTCTTCACTGTGCGGGACGTTTGTTCGCAGTCGACAATTATCTTGGGTAGTAGTTTTCAGATCAATCAGCAGACAACCAAAAGGTCTTTTTACAGCCTCCTCGTGCTGATTTAAAAAGAAATCAGTTTGCCCGGGATACATTTGCTTGGCAAGAGTCAAGATTTGCAATTTGTCTCGTGGGTTCTTGAATAACACCAAATAATGGCTGTTTAGGCTTATGCTGCCACTACCTTTCCCCTGGTGAAATAGATTCTGCACGATATAAATCACGCTTAGATTGCGATGATGAGAACCACGAGTAAAGAGGTTCACTATTCGCTTGTCTTTACTGGCGTCAATCATTTGATCATCAAACACGATCAAATTCCGTTTGTTCATATCAAAATAGGAATCCTGCTCCAAAGCCGTGGGAATTCCCTTGACGAATTCAACGTGTGGCATGGCGACTAGCATTTCTGTATACGCAGGCTGCCATTGTGAATAACACCAAACAATCCTCTCCAGGGGAGGGTAAATTGTCGCTGAAGCTTGTTGCAATAGAAATCGAGCCCAGGCCGTTTTACCTGAGCCGGTCATTCCGGCAATCATGGAGGTAAAAGGATGCTCGAATCAAAACCGCTGACATTTCTGTGAAAACGGAACTGTTTGAAATGGTGTGAGACCAACATTGTGGTGTTTAGACATCGCGTGCCTTTGCATCCTTTCTACTAAGTGATTTTTCGCAAACGGAACAGAACCAACTCATGTCAGCTCCTCAGGAGCAGAATATGGACTGAGAAAATGCTAGGATGATGCGCATTGATATACTTTTGAAGGCTATAAAATTCAATAGTTTTCCTCCACCACCACCACTTTCCTATTGTGTTCCTCCACCACCGCCACCACCACATTTCTATTGTTTCCCTCCGCCACCACATTTCTATTGTTTTCCCTCCACCACCACCACCACCACCACCACCGCCACCACATTTCCATTGATTTTTCTCCACGACAGTCAATAAAAGACTGCAAACTACTATCATAAGTTCAGTTTGTCGCAATAATGTCTCAAGTTGTCAAGAACAATCGTGGTTTTCTTCAATTCTTAGCTGTTATTCCAGCACATCAGCGACAGTTTCTTTTACGGACAGCCAGTCCACAACAACTATATGCATTAGTTCAAGTCTTATACAATATACTTAAGGAATACATTCTTATCCCCGAAGAAAATAAGCGGAACGTGTTGCCATATAAGGATGCTTTAGTAAACCTAGCAGAAACAAATGTCCCTTACAAAACAAAGAAGCGAATCCTTGTACAAGAGGGTGATGGTTTTGTTCAAGACCTATTGGTACCTGCTGTTACAAACCTAGGATTTTTGATGCTATAAAAGAGGAAGCGAAACTATAAGTTACTGATTTGAAGCTACTGTCTGTCACGGGTACTCATCAAAATGAAGAGAAAGATAGATTTGGTTGAAGAAGAACACGAGAGTGAACATGAAGAAAGCGAAAGTTCTGGTGATGAAAGCGAGGATGAAGAACCAAGAATAAAAGATGTTTTGAGTCATCCTTCCCGAGCAGTGTCGGAAAAGCGTGCTTCTGATTTGCTTCATAGTATGGCCGCGTCCAAAGATATTCTTTTCTGGACTCCAAGCGGACAATTACTTCGACATAAACACACTATTCCCGTCACAAACATCGCCGAGCTAGCTGAGTATGTGTTACTCCCTCATAACAATGAGGTTACCAAGCCTCGTGCGCTGAATACGTTTCTAGATGGACTTGCAGTGTTAGGAATCGATAAAGGTTTAATCAAGAACAAAAAGTTGTTAAGTGAGTTAATAGAAAAGGAAAAAGGCTACCGAAATGTAGAAAATACTTCTGATAATGAGAGTAATAATGAGGAGAGTTCATCGGATATTGAAAATCAGGAGGAGGAGGAGGAAGTGGCTTCTGAGAATGGCGTTGAAACTGAAGGCACGCAAGAGAGTGACAACGACACTGAAAACGATAGTGAGGAAACAGAAAGTAGTAGCCCTGAAACGTCCACCACCTTTCACTCTAAAAGTCCCTGTGAACATTGCGAAAACTCTAATGTGTACTCCACATTGATCATGAAATGTCCTAAATGCCTTTGGCACGATAACTACAAGATTTGTCCTATATGCGATCACCAGATCCCCGAGGAGAGAAAATACATCAAAGAGGGCTTTCTTCGGTGTCACGTATGTGGATTAATTACACACAAAAACGGCAAGACGTTGGAAACCAATTTTTATTCACCTTCTAAAGAGGAGAACGAAGAGGAGGTCTAATTTCCATCCCTTCCAAATCGCTGTTTATTTGACTCTTTTTGTCACTGGTTTTCAATAAAGTTTTTAAAACTGTATCTCGTGTCTTGTCAATTAATTTGTCGCGTGTTTAAATTGATCCTTGTTAAGTTATTAATTGTTTGTGTTTTACAATAATAAGTCAAGGTGCTCCCTTGGGTCTAGCTGTAGAGATGAACTAATTTGTATTCAAGTTTGGGCTTGTTAACCGCATAATTAACTA